CGGCGGTAAAATAAAAATAAGAAACTAAAAAAAAGAATAGTAACAAGTGACTACGAGGCTCTCTAAACGTAACTAACCACACCGCGTTCTAAGAGACCGCTTATAATTCAGCAAACTTCTGAATATTACGTTGAAAGATTAACAATCTTCCGAGGCAAGCACACAGGCCGAAACGCGTGGGTTCTTCAATTTCTAATTAGCCACCTCCACTCTCGTGAAGCAAGAAAGCACGCTTTCGAACTCGTTTCCCTTCTATTTAACTCAGATTACTTCCGCTGACGATTTGAATCCTTGCGCGTTCTACTAAAATTTACATACTCTGGCATTGGCAATTCCAGGGGAAAGTAAGACTTGACAGGAAAGATAGTTTAAACTTAAAATAAATGTTAGTTAAAATAAATATAAACCCTACACAACACATTGAGATTGAAGGTCCATTTCATCTCCATTCCAAGTAATCTCCATCTCCATTTCATCTCCATACTACGATAAATAGCTTTCATTACGTTATCTAGGAACAATTTTCTTTTCTTTTCAATATTCTAAGGGCTTGTCCTGGATCCATCACCTGTGAATCATCACTTTTCCGCTTAGTCAATCCTAGCCATTTTTCCATTTTATAAATCTAGGTTTGTTTTATTATTTTTACACAAATATTCAAATGCACAATATATTATAAGTTCTTCAGAAACATACGACGATGTTCTCAAATCGCTTAAAGAAGAAAGGAATACAGAGCAACAAGAAGACAAAATACCTGCTGTTACAGACAACAAATCGACGTAAAAATGATTCTAATTGAAAAACAGAGCAATATGAGCCCGCAAATGGTGGACCGGAAAAGTGTAGATATGCTAATAAATTGATCAACTCTATGTTATATGGCTTAAAGAATATTTGTGAAAATAAAAACGGATTATTCTGTTCAAGGTCCATAGCCAAGGGCTATGGACCTTGAACAAAGCTCAGATCGCATAAATTTAGGAGTGTTAAAGAAAAAGTTTAAACAAAATGATGGAATATTTAATTTTTGAATTTAGTAGTTAAAAATACTTTGTTTCTTTGCGTACCACTTATTTTTCTCTTGCGTACCACCGGTTGAGAATCGCTGCTTTATACCCTTTAATTTTGTTGAGAAGTAAAAAGCGAAGTATGAACGGAGCTGGAAAAAGTTGTTAGAATGAATCGGAAAAGGAAATCGAAGAAGATTTATATCGAAAGAAGTGTCCAGCTGGCAAAGTAAAGGAATATACTAAAGATGACCGACGATGCATTGGTAAAACTGACAGTGCAGTTTTTAGAACTTAGGGAAGAGGAGTTTATAGCCTAAGGATAGTACTTATCGTTAGAATTTCTGTGATTGTAAATAAACCAAGGAAACAAACAACGTAGTGCTTTCTGTCTGCGATATGAACATTTATGTTTCAATCCAATATCAAATGTGCTCAAGGCCAATGGATATATGAATGTGAAACTGACAATGACGGAAAAAAAAAAAAAAAGAAAATACATTTCCTGCTCGAAAGAACACGTGGCTTCCCGTCGTGGATGCGAGGACAGTGAAACGAAAATGAAGAACTCTCGAGCAGAAAAACCCAATTAAATAACTTTCTCAACTGTCACGGAAAAGAAACATGTAAGAAATCTCTGAAGAGGGACAAAATTTTCCAGAAACTTTCACAAGAAGGAAAGCTTTATTTTGTAAGCAAGCTAATCCTCCAAAAAACAGACTATTTGTAGCTACTGAAGAGCTCTTCAGCATTCCCTGTGAATTTAAAGAAAAGGAAAAATAATCAGAAGCAAGCTAAAATCTATATATCAAAAATCATAATTCTATTAGTACAGGTCGTAGGACTAAGAGATCGTGGGTTCTATACTCCCTAATAAGATGAACTAATTTAATTTCCAAATGGGCAAAAATTGTAAAGGCTTTTCTTTTATTCTTTTGCCTCACCGGTGACGCATATTCCCCACTTTTAACGCCAACGCCTGAGGGCATTCTTTCCAAACGCGTGAGTTTAAATCTTTATTACATACATGTTCACTGCATCATCATATTTTATGTTCTGGCAAGTTCAGTAGTTCCTGGTAATGGATCATGTACAACTGAAGAGAAAGACGATACCCATTTTATGTATCTGGTATACACTAATGGGAGGCATGTGCAAATGGGAGTACTTCTCCTACAGATGCACTCTCGATCATGGCATATTTATGCGCTTGCACTGCGAACGTACGATGAGGGGAAGTTTCCAATTCAAGCTGACATCTATGATACAGGTCGTGGCAGGAGTATCGAATGTCGGCCATGTCAGAAAAGACTGTGCGCCAGGTACGACTACAATCTGACATTAGACGAGAATTATAATATCGCAAAGCTGTATTGTATGCACTTTTTAAGCTATGCATATTATACAGTACATTTATTTTACATACCACTTACACCTCTTACATTTCATTTAATTTCCCCATTGACGGACAGCTGGTCCAAATAGGTAAGAGCTCACCAGTTTATTAAGTCCTATAGATGGTTCTGGATAAGTTGCTCATCCTGGGCTATATCCCTTAGGAAACTTACAGCAATTACTGGCAGTACATGAAAGTATTGATTCTTACATTGTTTACAGTACGCCTATTGAAGAACATTTAATCTCTAAGTATATAGGGCAGGGGTTCTCAACCAGTGGGTACGCAAGAGAAAAATCGGTGGTACGCAAAGAAGCAAAGTATTTTTAACTATTAAATTCAAAAATGAAAACCCCAACATCCTGATTGAGTTTTTTCGCTGACACTCGTAAATTTACTCGTAGTAGTACTTTGTAGTGGTGGTAATAAATGTTTTCATTTTTGTTTAGATGATACGCATTAGTCAAAAGGTTGAGAACTGCTGATATAGGGAATGAAATATTGTTATTGTTGACTATTGAACTGCGTTATATAAACAATAAAACACATTATGCGACAAACGACCTTTTACAGTAATAATATATTCATTGACAGACAATCATTTACTAATAATAGGCGTACATTGAAAAAGGAACATTAAAACACACTATGAAATCTACAGCTCTAACAGTGATAATATTTACATTGACAATCATTTAGATTCTATATTTCACAAGAAGAAACTCAATTACTTTTGACAATTAAACATTAATATGTTGTTAGTATAATGTAATATGTGAACATTGATATATTGCAAGAAAATAGTAATTCATTACTCCAGAAGTATTTCAGCTAGAGAATTAATGTAGCTTTATATTATTGCTAATGGAAATTGCTAGAATTCCCATATTAACAACAGGAGCATTATGCTTTATTTGCCAAATATTTCTAATGAAATGTAATCTGTAAGATTTAAAGATATAAATAAGTATAACACATTCGACAGTACCTGGCTCCTGTCTTCATGAGATAGAAAGCGCAATATATATGCATTCTTACATTCTTTTTATATCAAAGCGATTGCTATAGGTGTTATTGGCTCACACATGACTGTTACGGTTGGTAAGTTTCCGATCAACACTGGATAGTCAAATACACCGACTTTCGAAAGTTTATCAGGACTACTGTTTCTTCTTATCTGTTTAGCAAACATGTAGGTATCCTGAGTAGAACAGTAACTTTACTTAAAGCTATGTCCTATGCTACTGTAGAAGATATAACAAAGATGAGAAGGGTTTAATTCCCCTTTATTCTCCACAATTTACAGGTGCTCCCGCTAGCGGGATACAAAGACCAGCACTTGTGGTCTGAACGTAACAAAATAAGAACTACAAACTAACTAAATTTAAGTAAGAGCTAAACTTGTAGAGATATTAGAATTTTTTTGGAAGCAAGAGAGATAAAAATAGAAAACCGCCTTCGCCGGGAATCGAACCATGGACCTCTGGAATACCCAGCTGCATAACCACTACATCATGAAGCCACGCTAGGAAAGTGGGAGAAATACTTTTTATACTCCCGTTTTTAAAGGGCGACTGGGATTTTTAGGGGAACCATTCGCCAAATCCTGGGTGTGGAGAGTCATCATCCACAACCCTTTTAGTTCTGGCGCCACTGTAGAGACATTAGGATTTTTTTTGGAAGCAAGAGAAATGAAAAATAGCAAACTGCCTTCGCCGGGAATCGAACCACGGGCCTCTGGACCCCATTCCGCAAATCCGTAAATGCGCTACATAATTTTTTTCACATGTTACTAGACTTAATCATATATGAAACTCGTACACATCACATGATTGGATGCGCTTGTCCCTCACTTCCCTTGTTTGGTAGTAAGACGTGGATCGCAATTGAACCAATCAGCCGCTGCCTCTCGTAGCCACTGAGATGTTCACAAAGCGTCATTAGGAGGGTTCTGACTTGCCGAAATTCTGCAGTTTCTAAGCTCGTATAACAGAAATATGTATGCTGTTCATATTGCTACACTCAGGCAACGGCTTCTTGTCTAACGCCTGCAATCGTGAGCCTTTCCTCATGAATATGAAGTGTCGGACCTCCCACGAGAGCATGATCCCACGATCTTGAAGATATTAAGTTTCTAGGTTTTTTAAAGGTTTAGAAAACCGTTGTCAGTAATTTCTCTAAGATTTGCAACTGATTCCTCATGAAGTGGAAAAGCAGATTCAATTAAAATGTTATAATGTGACAGAGGAAAGCAGCCCTCCACCTCTGCTGTGAGTTTTTACTCGATTTTGATGCAAACTTTGCGGCTATTCTGCACGAGCCCTTTTATACGTCCTTTTTTTGGGGGTAGGAGAGATTGAGGGTGACTGTAAATTCCACACTTTGCTATTGTTGTTAAAATACTTGATACTTCAGGAAATTTAATGATAATTATCATCTGGATATCTTTCTTTGATAATTAAACAAAGACTAATAAATCTTAAAAATCTAGCAAAAAATGAAAGCAAAATGTAACTTCTAATAAATATATATTGTTTACTGAACTTTATTTCCAGATAAAGGATTTCTGTAATTTAATTATTTTCCTTGTCTAGTTCTGAGACCTATGCAACCGTTAAAGAAAACAGAATAATTTCTCGATATGATTCATATGTGAGTATTTTAAGTAATTTTTTTAATTTTATGTAATAATACCATGAATCTTAATATGTCTTTCATATTAATAAAATGTTGTTCGATGCATAACGCTCACCGATGACACAAATTTTGAAGAAGAAAATTTAACAAATTTTGACTACCTTAAAGATTTAGCAAACATGCTTTCGGGCGTACCAGGTCCTAGAGCTTATGAACATCAGTTTGTTATGCAAAAGATGATAACAAAGCGATATTCCCAAGAGCTTTAAAAATGTCTCTTGTGAAAAACATATCCATAAAATTTCTTGAGATACTGCCGTTTTTGCTCATGAAATGAGAAACTTTCTTTTGCCTTTACTTATAGCCTGAAAGTAACATATAAACTTCTGCTAAACATCTACGCTAATTACAAATTATGTGCCTTTTTATTCATGTGTGCTTTTATCACTGTAGGCATTTATTAACGTGACCTTTTATCAGGGTGGGCTTTTAACCTAGTAGGTACTTCTCGTGTGGACACTCTTGACTGTGGGGTTTCTTCTATGGCCAAATAAAAGTCCGCACAACAAAAACCTATAGAAGAAGCCCGTCAGTTACAATTGCCCATATCACAAATACCCACACAAATGAAAGTCAACATGGATGAAAGATCACATTGATAAAACCCCACACTGATAAAATACCACAGCGATATATGGGGTTCTAAGTGTGTAATATTAACTTAAATTCCTTTAGACCTTTTCAGACTAACAAGCGAGTTATCTCTCCACCTATGTAAATAGGACAAAGCCTTGTGAATTTTTTAAAACATTCTTTTTATTAAACTTGAATTTAAACAGAAAATACCACTTACAAGCAGACAAACACCACTGGGTACAATCAAACGTCTGCCACCTGTGAGTCGTGAAATAACATTAGGTTGAATTAAAAAATTAAAAATCTCGTAGGCTGTGACTACACAAATTTAACCTCATTAAGGTGGCTCAGCTCTGATGGCGCGATTTAATGCCGGATAGCAAACGGCTAATGCCTGAATTCATAGGTAACTCTGATATTTTTTAGATAGGGGCAGACAATATGCGCTAAAAACAGTTATGTGTTAGCTATGTAAATCGGAACTCTTTTTATGTCCGCGGACGGTAATTTGTGGCAATAATTTCAGTTTATTTATTGTAGAATTATTTTTGAAAGAAATGAAATGGAGTTAATGCGAGAGCTTAACCGTGCTATGATTTTCTATGATTTTAAAGTGGGGCTAAATTAAAAGCAATTTCTACAATTAGCATATGCAATTTACAAAATTTACACTTACAAAATTTTGTATAGGTTTAAATTCTCTCCTGGATGATAAACGTACAGGAAGTTCTTTGTCAGCTATAGTCATAGAAATTGTGTCGGTTAGTGTTAATCGCTGCACCTACTACATGATACAAGAGAAACGTAAAATTGGATTCGCAGCCAAGCATAAAATTATTCATGGAGATGCATATGAAAAAATTAGTTTGTCGTTGGGTCCTCCGTAATTTGACAGAGCGCTAGAAACCGGAGAGTGTCATATCAGTAACGAAATCCTAAAATTACGTAATGAAGGTGGATCCTCCGTAATTTGACAGAGCGCTAGAAACCGGAGAGTGTCATATCAGTAACGAAATCCTAAAATTACGTAATGAAGGTGGATACTGCATTTGAGCATTAAACCCTTACCAGTGTCACACGAATCCAGTTCGTGCACCCCATTCGCGCCAAACGGGGAATGCTCGAACTGACTTCGGGCTTGAATAAAATCAGTGTTTCTATTCCGTGAAGCCCGAAATGATTTCATTTATCAAATTTTATTTTTTGTCAATATATAGCCATATTTCTACCATATTTATCTAAAACTTGAACAGAATAAGCTTTAAAAGTGGTTCTTGGGGGTGAAAGAATATGCATTTTTTCTTTTTTGACACATTTTCCTGAAATATACTCCACAAGCAAGGGGTTAAGTTAGAGCAGTGGTTCTCAAACATTTTGAAGTTGACGCTTATTTAAAATCCTACAAATAATTGTAGGCGTTCTATATACAAATTAGTGAGAAATAAGTTAGCATAATCAAGTCAAATATTACATAAGGAATGACGAAATGAAGAAAGTAAAATGAAATATACATTAAGTGTATTCATTCTTATGTTTATTAGAAACATCATCCTGATGTGTCCTAGTGATTTCTTCAATGTTTGGAAATATATCTGAGTAGCAAACTCTGATTTCCTCGTCGATACATTGACGAATTCTTCTCTTTTTACCCTTAACTCTAGTGAGGCCAAATAATCCTAATTCACATAAAAATATTGTTGAAAATTTTAGTAAAATGTTCGAAGCGTTTTCAGGTATTGACACATATTCTTCTTTAATAGAAATCCAAAAAGCTTTAAGAGTTTGTTTTGGTTTGGCTTATTCGATTATGGCAACGCACTCGAGAGCTATCTGCGTAAGACGAGGGATGCCTTCGTAAAAGAAATTCTTAAGGGAAACTGGATCGTATACGCATACGAAATCACGAAACTACCTATGCAGCCGTCCCGTTTGCCGGGATTCGAACAACAGACCAAACTGCCAGTATTCAGCGACTTCACGGCTCGGCCGCTGGTGGGCTAACGCTTTAAGAGTCAAGATTATGTTTGATCACCAATCCACGTTCCCTGGCTATAGCTGCAGTTATTCTTCTATGAATGTTAAACCAAAGTCACTAAGTTTCCATGAATGGATTTCTAATCCTGTCGTAGTGTTTAGTGTTAGGAGATGGAAAATAAGAACTCAGTTTTTCTTCTAAATTTGTTAAGTGTTCAACGATTATTGGAAGTGTTTCATTTATGCAAGTGTTACTTACCAATGGAAACATTTCCAAATTACCTTCAACGGCTTTCTTTTTCCAAATCTGCAGTTTTCTCTGAAACGCTTTAATTTGTCATTGGACGCCGCTTTCATTTGGCAGTGAACACGAGAATATTTTCTTCTTTCCCTTACATGTCAGTGTTCAAAATACTGAACTATATCTGCCAAGTACTATAACTAAAATAATCCAAAATTCGTACTGAAGGTGGTTACAAAAATGTAATTGTTTCATGTCTTCAAAAAACACAAGTTGTCGTGGTAGCTCGTATATACGGGTAAGCACATTTCTCCTTGACGGCATCTCTGTGTAAAAGTAGTCGACTATGAATCCATATTGATACAAAACGTTTTGAATAAACGCGATTTGACAGATCTAAAACGTCTCTTAATTTGCCTCCCAGTGTTTTTGCCATCAAGGCTTCTCTATGAAGAAAGCAATGAGTTACCGTAACATTCTCATTTTATTTTCTACAAAAGATGTATAGTCTTTAACACAGCTTAACATGGGAGGAGCTCCATCTGTAGAAATTCTTACCCACGACTTACATGGTCAGCTGCCATTTATCACGTCAGTTACTCAAAATGTTTGTAAGAATAAATTATTTTAAGGTTTTAATTAAAGCCATTTTATTAATGAGATTTTAATTTTATAAGTAATGTGATATTAATTGTTGAGGAAGTAGGAATAAAAATCAGAAAATGAAAATAGTAAATAAACCTCAAAATGTCTTCAGCTGTTTGGCGTATAACAGGGATGGAACACAAACGGCTGTATGTTAGTAAAAAAGACAGAAGGCCTATTTACATATTTATATTTGTTACGCATTCAGTAAATACCTTCTTTTTAGGTTTAAGTGCTTTCTATTTGTAGTAACAAGAAAAATTACAACGACCTAATGTGGAGTGTGAAGTTTTTATCAAATAATGAGTTTCATTTTTAAATTCAAGTGTTGTCACAAGATTTAAAATAATGTTGTACTTCCGTTTACCTAGGATTATAATTCTTACAAACAAAATTATGAAAAAAAATTTAAAGAGAGAAGATAAAGTTGTTGAAGTACAGGAGCGAAAGAAGAAATGCAGCAGTACTTCCTGATAGGTTCCTTATTCGTCATTTTCTCACCTTTGTCTAAAAAGTGCGGATTAGGGGTAAACACGATTTAATAAAATTATTAAAAATCATTTGATAGTGACAACGTAACCGGATTACTATTTGTACATTCGTTTAAGGTAGGCTGAAACAATTCTATTTTTACTGAAGCTATTTTCATGATAGTTGCTTACGATTGCATGAAATTCATTTCCATGGCTTCGTTCATGGCGTTCTGCACATTCTTGATTACAAAAAATGGTAGACTTTCTGATGAAAATGAAGGTAATATGTCCATAAATAACGCCAGAAGACATTAAAAAATGAAACATTAAAGAACGTTAAAGAATTGAGAACAATGATGCTAAGTCTATACGAATCAAATCCGTGTTAAAATTTCCATTCATTAATTTAGTAATAAGACTTTGTAAACATATCAGATTTTCTGCATTCAATTCCATGTTTGGTTATGAATAATAGTGGTTATAATAATAATACTTTTATAATAAGTTTTAATAATAACGTTATAATATGTTTTTATTAATAAAGTTATACTATGTTTTAATGGTAAGGTTATAATAATAATTTGGTTATAATAATAAAGGTTGTAATAATAATTTGGTTACAATAATAAAGGTCTGTGAAGTATATTAAATTCATTGAAAATTATTTCTTTTTTACAGAATAGTAAATTCTTAACTTCAAAAGTTGTAAGTATTACAATTTTTCGTATTAAAGATTTTTACTAACATCAGTTTAAGAATTTTATAATGTTATTTATTTTTCATTGTTTCAACTAGCTAACCTTAAAAATAGATTTTTTTCGGAAGCATTAGAAATAAGAAAATATTAGTAAGCAATGAACTGGATTTTACTCTCGAAATTTAAAAACTCTGTTTAAATGTAACAATCAAAATGAAATCATTAAGGTCCTAAGCTAGTTTTAGAATCAATTAGACGGTAACTGTAAAATGTCTCCTTTTCAGCTGTGATTCTGACAATATTCGTTTAAAATAATATCATTGGAAAATACAAGATACTCCAACAAATCATAAAGATTTTAGAAGTTTAAAATATCGGCAAAGAGTGTAGTTTGGGGAAAAAATTTAAAGGAAGGAGTTTTTTGGGGAGGACGTCAAGAAATACATAGTTCTAAATTTCGCCGATAGAAGGCGTTATGTTGCCCGTTATGTAACGAAGATAGGCCCTGAAGACAATATTTAAGGGATTCTTTTGTTAGCGAATAACATGAGCTATTTATTAGCTTTGTCATATATAACGCATTTCTTGTACGTGTATAAATCGTTTTAGTACTGTTCCTGCTGTTCGATTCGATGCAACGTAAACCGGTGTAATTGAAATAAGTTAAATACTATTTATTTCTTTCTGCCCCCTTTCCAAAAAACTCACTTCTCTGTGCAAGCGAAACTTATAGCCATTCTTTTGCAAGGGTTTTACAAATTTCTTAAATCTTTGCGTACTTTTTGAGCCACTCCTTATCTTAATTTTTCCCTATTGCTCCAATCTTGCTTTAGCCAAGAGCAACAGATAAGGTGCTACCCATCTAGCATTTCGAAACTGAAGGTTCTGTTGGTTTGGTTATGGCAAGGAACGCGAGGGCTATCTGCTAAAGGGAAGGGACGCATTCTATGAGAACTTTCTAAGGAAAACTGGCTCGTATCTACGTTGCACATCTAAAGGGTGGCCCAGAAGTCACTTTACATTTTGAAAATTAAATAACTTTTTTTCTATTAATATATTTCTTTTTCTCTTTTCAGAATTAAAAAATATAATCCCTGGAAATTTTTTGGCATGGATAAGTTTACAACAGAACAACGAGTGAAGATATTGAATTTTACTTTTGAAAATGGACGGTCAATTGTTGCAACGCAAAGATATGCGCCATTTTAATGTTCGACATCCCCCTAGTAGGCCTGCAATAAGGAACTTAGTGACGCGTTTCAGGTTCAATTTGTGCATCTTTAAAACCAGCAGACTTCAGAAACGAGTAAATTATGCTCTCAGTTTCAGAGAACTGCAAGAAATGACAATGAGTTTATTCACAAGTTGATCATGGGAGATGAAGCTCTTTCCATTTGAATGGACATGTGAATAAGCAAAAAAAAAAAAAAAAATTAATTAAATACAGTCATTTAAGAAAAAGTTATTTAATTTTCAAAATGTAAAGTGACTTCTGGGCCACCCTATATAAGTACGAAAACGCTCATGCTGAGACGGCCTGTTCGCTGGAATTTAAACCCGAGTTGAACTGCTGGTGTTCAGGGATTTTACTGTCGGTTTCTGGTAAACATTAGAAATGGAATAGTTTCTAACAAACACAAATGAAGATTATTTCTACAGTTGCTAGAATAAATCATAACGGTAAAAGCATGCAGATCTGCCTTATGAGAGTTGCTTTCGTGCAAAACTTTAAAAGAAAAGTGTCTTGTAATCATGTTAAATAAAGAATAAACAACAAAGCCTCACGGAAATAACTATCTATATTCTGAAGTCTTATCCACTCGGCTATGAGTTGTCAGTTTCTGTAAAGCTGTTAGAATAGATGTAAAACTTAAGACCAACAGTTGTAAAGAACTTCGTTTTAAGAAGATAATATCTAGGAAGATGCTAATAGCTAGTAACATTTTCTAGCACCCATTTCATGATTATTTAGCTTCCAAGAGGGTAACGTTCGCCAGCTAGAATATAAATAATTTTGGCATTTGAACAAAACATTTGACCTGAATGCTACGTTTAAAAACTGAGGAGCTATTAGCTGCTTTCGTATTTGAAATTTAGCGTATACAACATGCATATAGCCATTGTAGTCATTATTTTAAAAAGCAAATTTATTCTAAAAGCGCGAAACTCATAAAATTATAAGCAGTTAATTTTACCGGTTTCTTAGAAAATAATGCATTATTATGACTATTCATTGGTTTTACGGGATACCATAATCTTTAAATACACTCACTAATTCCAATAACAAAGAAAAAAACTTTAAAACTAACGATTATTTGCCTTAAAATAGCCAAGTCGTCATCAAATGTTGCTCCTACAGGCATCAAAGGAATAACACATCCATATAGTGTACAAAAATCAATCCGAATTCCACCGGCTTGAAATCCTAGAATACTAACAAAAGCAATTTTAATGGGATCTTTATATTCAGATTCCAGTCTAATATTTAAAGCTATATTAACCTTTTCAGTTATATTAGACATTTTAAGAATTAATTCGCAGAAATTAAAAATACTGAATATAAAATCATAAAACTAAAAGCCGCGCCCATTTGAAAGAGGAACTATGATAAATTTCTGCAACAGTTGTTAGTTTAATACATGTATACTTACAAACTGAATAGTAATACGTAGGTGATATATACTGATGCTGCCAATTAAACAAATCTATAGAAGTATGCAAGATGAATTTGTCTGTAAGCGATCACCTTGTCCATGGCTGTGCAACAAATTTTCAAATGGCTACACGCAATAACTTTATCAGCTGAAGAAAGTGTCACATTGCTCCAAGAGAGGATGAACATCGTTTGTGAAGATAGAGTTTGGTTGTGTGCCGAACCATTCTTCAGCTGTTTCCCGGACGTCCCCATCGTTTGTGAACCGGTGTCGTTTTAATATTTTTAGCGAGACGAACAAATGGAAACAACAAGCAAATATATCAGAGATGCAGGGGGGAGGGGATGGAGAATATTTCACTGGAAACGTTCTTGATATTTTGTATTCACAAAGTAAAGATGCAATTAAAAATTCAGATATTTGCTTGCATGCAACGGACTTTATTATAAGCTTCAGTGTATTTTTGCCACTACCTTTAATAAATATTTTTCTCTTTTTTATTTCAGGGAGCCATAATTCGAATTTTACAAGTAAGTATCAACCATCTATATACATTGTGGAAGACCACAGACTAAAATAGTGCTGTCCAGATGAGGGATATTAAATCACTAAAATTGATAAACATTGGTTTCTTTGAACGTAATCTAAATTTCAATCTCATAAAATGTAATATGTTGATTGATATATATTCATGTAAAAATGCTTGGAACACTTTCAAAATACAAATTAAGTTAACAATGTGCAGAATTTCAAATAAGCAAACATAAATCAAGATTTTATATGCATATATTTATCAAGACGTATTATTGGAATATTAATTAGATGGAAATAAGGAAATATAATTTATTATCGAGTTCTGTGCTAGAAAGTATGCTCCTTTTTCTGTCAGAAGGTAAATGTGGTACTGTGGGGGAGGGAGGTGAGAACAGGAGAGTATTCCGGACTGTGAATAAATCTAAAAAAAACCGATTGATAAATTTCTTAAGCTACCAGGTTATTATTTAATTATGTAATTAGATTTTCTTAAATTTGTATAGGCTCAAATAATAAAAGCTAGACTTTGTCAGTCTTCATTTATTATTGTCACTTTTCTGTCAGTCTAATTAGTCTATTTTTTGTGAATTCCAATAAATTCAGATATTATTATACGGTCTGATAAGGTAGAATATCTGATAAGGTAAGGCTAATTATCTGGCATTTCAGACCTAAATCATTTTATGCCTAAGCGAGTGGTCTTCCTGAACAAAAATACATTACTAGATGCATAACAGTGCTGAAAAAGTGAAGTAATATTTGATTACTTAATATATATAATCTACTTATTATTAAAGATATAACTCATTTTGATTATTGTTATATATTTTATATTCTCAAAGGAAAGAAAAATTAAAAAAGGAGTGCAGTGTACTGGGTGGTTATAATTAAACTTCCCCTATAAACGACATCCTACAGGTGAACGGAATGCAACGAAATTTTGAATATGTGCTATACACGAAATGCGCTCACGGAATTTCGAAAAAAAAATTAGTTCCAAAATGTCAACCAAAGGGCGCCTTTTCCGGAAAAACAGGAAATTCAACACAATAAACGACCAAAACAGAATACAGAAACAATATTAGCATTTATTGACTAGTTTCTGATCACCTTGTCATTGAACCACATTAAGTAAAGGTAAGAGAGATACAAAAACAGTTCAGTTTGCAGAAACAAGAACAGATTAGGGCGAAATTGCACAAGAGGAGAAGTTGTTAATCGTGACCAGGACGATGTAGGGAGAGAGAGAGAGAGAACGGAGGACGTGGGCACTATCCCTTTATCAAACGGTTAATTAGTATAGCACCACGTCCACCACTATCTATAGCACCCCTTCAAAATACATAATGCCACTGAAAGGTTTCACGTGCACGACAAGACATACAATAAATATGTTACAGAGTTACAGATTAATATTCAAATACATTACTGGTACATTACTGATACAACATGACAGATGCCGAACTGATAAGGCTGATATAATACTAATATTAACACTGATTAATACTGCTACAGTACTGATACATTGCTATAACACTGAATATTATTACTGATTAAATGGGAATGATTTGCTAGTCGGTAATAAATCCACGAAATAATACGTTACAGAGACTCAAATATTGCGAATTAAAATATCACAAATGAATGTTCTACTGTTACATTCTTGTACTATTGTACTATCTTAGCACCCCTTCAAGATACATAATGCCACCTGAAAGGTATCAACGTGCACGACAGACATACAATATAACATGTTACAGAGTTACAGATTAATAATCAAGATACATTACTGTATATTACTGATGCAAATATGACAGATGCAGAACTGATTAAAGGCTGATATAATACTGGTACTGATATTAACACTGATTAATACTGCTACATTACTGATACATTGATATAAAACTGAATATTATGTACGATGAATACGATGTAGGGAAAGGTGCTCCACGTGACCTCCCTCATTCACCTGCAAAATTTCAAATCGATGAACTGTGTGTTCAATAGCAGATCATAATTGATGGCTACGCACATGAAGCGTTATGGAGTTCTTTAATACATTCAACATCTCGCACGGAGTTAGATCTGGAGAACGTGGTGGCCATGGATTAGGAAATGTGCGACTAATGATGGAAAACAAGGTAAGCGAAAATTACTCTTCTTTCTTTGGTTTTTTCTGAAAGTATATGTATTAGATGAACATAATGAACCCAAATATACAAGTAGAGAAATTGGATAATATTAATTTTGAGATAAAGCGTTTTTAAGTGAAAATGATTTTAATCAGTCAGAACTTTGGGATGTTGTGAGTGGGCAGTTAGTCAAGCCAGAAATATCGGAAAGTAACTTAGCCGAAATTAACAAGTGGATTTTAAAAGATCAGAAAGCTTTAGCAATTATTACTCTGAGCGTGAAATCATCTGAGTTAATACACATTAAAAAATGTCAAACCTTATACGAAGCGTGGATGAAATTACACGAAATTCACCAGCCTAAAGACCCTAAAGTTAGTCTCATGAAGCAGCTTATCTCAAAAAGAATGAACGCGGACGAAAACTTGCAGGAGTGTTTAACTTCTTTCTTCAAAATTGTCGACAAATTAGCAGAAATAGAATCTGAAATTCCAGAAGTATTTCTCACCGTTTTACTATTATGTAGCTTAACCGAAGAATTTGAAAGTTTTAGAATCGCGATAGAATCTCGTGATAAATTGCCAATCTTAAACATGCTAAAAGTTAAGTTACTAGAAGAAGCTAAAAGTCTCCAATTTAAAGCGCAAGAAAACAGCCAAGCTCAGGATACGTTTAGTTACTAAATATCACGACAACGCGAAAACGCCTAAAAAAGCGAAACCTTCAAGTGTTATAATTGTAACAGAAGAGGTCACAAAGCATCGGAATGTAGGCAAACCAAAAACAAAAATTCTAATCAAGAATCCCCTAAAACAAATTCTCTCACGATTGTGAATACAACGCGAGAATTAGGAACACATAAATGGTGTCTTGATTCGGGAACAACTGAACACGTGTTTAATGACAAAAGTATATTTACGTCAATAACTGAGACAAAATGTGAAGCTCAGTTAGCAAATAATTAGTTTTTAGAGGTAAAAGAGAAAGGCAAAGTTGAAATTTATGCAAGTGTTTATTCAAGTTCGCAGCGCCTAATACTCAATGATGTATTACATGTTCCCAATCTAAAACTGAACTTTATTTCAGTTAATGCAGCAACACAACGTAAATCTACTGTTTACTTTAGAAATAATCATGCGTGGATTAAAGACAAAAATAAACGCGTAATTTTATATGCAATGAAGCAAAATGGTCTATATGTTGTAAGTCAACAAGATGTAATTGAGGTTTCAAATGTGGCAAAGTGTGACATAAATAATTCAAACAGTAAACTGAAATTATGGCACGAAAGATGTGGTCACTTAAATCTAGCCGATTTAAAAAGAATGCATTCCCACAAGTTGGTAAATGCTCTGAAAATTCCAAAAAGTAATAGTCAAATTTTATTTTGTAAAATTTGTACAAATTGCAAACAAACAAGATTACCGTTACCAAAGGAAACGTACACAGTAAACCGTGACATACACGAACTTGTACACACCGATATATGTGGTCCTATGAATGTCACATCTTTAGGTAGTGCAAAATACTTCATAACATTCATCGTCGACAAATCACGAAAAATTACTCTGTACACCTTATACAACAAGTCCAAAGCTCTTGAAGCATTTAAAGAGTACAAATTTCAGGCTGAGAAGCAAACTGGGAAGCAACTGAAAATACTCCGCAGCGATAATGCAAAAGAATTTAAAAGTCAAGAATTAAATCAATTCTTAAAAAGCAGGGCATTAAACGCTAGTTTTCAGTGGAGTATAAACCGCAACAGAACGGAGTTGTAGAACGCGCCAATCGTTACCCTAGTTGAAATGATCAGATGTTCAAAGCAAAATTACCTCAAGGATTGTGGGCAGAAATGGTGAATACAGACGCCTAATATTCGAAACAGATGTCCGACCAAAAACAGATCAAAAACATCGGAAGAAATATGGTCTAAAAGAAAGCCTACAGTATCTCATTTCAGGATCATAGGAAGTAAAGCTTTTGCGTTTATAACTTTAAATAGGAAAAACAAATTTCTCCTAAAAAGTGAAGAATACATTCTTGTTAGATATTCTAAAGAAGCGAAAGCATATCGTCTATAGAAAGCCTCGAACATCTGAAGTAACAAAGTCGTAATGTCAGATTTTTGGAACTTGCGGAATCTGAATCTGAAACAACCTCACCTCGAAAACTTCAACTGAAGGCAAACAGGAATTCATATAATTTGTTTCTGCTGAAGAAACTTCTGAAATGCCAAATGAAAGGAATGAAGGGATACGTTCCTCTGTGAAGTGTTGGAGCAATAGCGCTTTCACGGACCCATGGATATGTGGCGGCACACTATCCTGCACGAAAATGGTCGATGTAAGCAATCGTCTGCAGCATGTCATGGTACCGACGGCCCGTAACGGAACATGTAACAGGCCCACGTTCACCGATTTCTTCAAAGAAGAATAGCCCAAGGATGAATGTCGCCGTGAATCCACCCCAGACAGTGATCTTTGGAGACTGTAGGGGAATTTCAGTGTGATTCCGCGAAATTCCCATGCTCCAAATGCGGCAATTCTGTGTGTTAACTGTCTCATTGAGATAGAAATGAGCATCGTCTCTCCACAGAATATTCCAAGGTCATGACAAATCAACAGTCATTCTATTGAGAAAACTGATTGCGAATGAGAGACGTTGTGGGTTGTTCCTATAAAGCAGCTCCTGAGTATGGCGGATCTTGTATGGGAAGTAGTGCATTATGTTCCTGAATACATTTCGAACGGTGCTGTAAGAATAGCCTGTCTATCGAGAAAGTACACGCGCGCTACTGCCCCAAAACTCTGATGTCTGTGAGTATCAACAAGTACCGGTGTCACACGTTTAAAGCCTCTTCCAGGTTGAATTTCCCCGTCTCTTTAAATATCTTAATCACGGCCCGGATGCGTAATGGCAAACCGCACATTGAGTTGATCAGTGTTAAAAGAGTTTCGCTAACTGCGCATGCACAGAAGCGAATTTGGCGCAATTTTAAAAGAAGATAAATACGGTATGTGGTTGATATTGTGTTATCTAGGCGTAAACAGTTCCGGGGTTTTAAAACTTGTTGGGTTTTAAGTTGTTTCATTACTTAGAGTGTAAATATCGATTGTAAACTACGCAAATTTTCGTTCAAGAAGGATTACAAAACGGAAAACATTATTACAAGATATATTAGCTGAATGTTTATTGATTATGTTTCTGATGAGTAAAAGCAGTTGAGTATTTACCATACGTTACATTCGTATATACTTTAATAAGGAATAAATCCAGTTTAAATCAAAGAAATCATTATAAGTAGATGATATTAAATGTAACGTTTATGAACGAAAATAAAATTAAGCAGAAGTACATGCAATAAGCATACACAAATATCCGTAGTACTGCAATTGTAAACAGTCGGTAAGTCCTACATGACTAGTCTTACATGACTAACAGGCTCGTGTAGGGTTGTTTATGCTCAGTCGAAAGTATTTCCTCCCAGGCCAACGGTACACCAATGAGCATGCGTAATACGCGAAATTCGACATTGATCAACTTAATGTGCGGTTTACCATTACCCGGATATCTTGAGCAGACACTGGTCCGCCCGTAGGTTCTTTCTACGACGAAATTCACGAACTGCAGCAGAACCATTTCCCTTGTTTTCGTAAAACAGCTTCACCAGTAACGCACATTTAACTAAAGAGACCGCCATTAGTGCAGCCGAAACATCGACTTCAACATCACAACGTCTGAAAACGTTTATACCCTAATCTGTTTTGCATAAAGCTTCCTCTTCTTTTTAAGCATGCAAACCTAGACATTTTCCTCTTACAACTGACAGCTTTTCCCGACTTTGCATTTTATTACTCATAATTCTAGTTCTGGATTGTTAATATTGTTTCTGCATTCTGATTTGGTCGTTTATTGTGTTAAATGTCATGTTTTTCCTGGAAAGGCGCCGTCTGGTGGACATTTTGGAACTAAAAAAATGTTTTTCGAAATTCCGTGAGCTCATCTCGTGTATAGACCATATACAAAATAACGTTGCATATCCGTTCACCCGTTTGCGCTGTAGGATGCCATTAATAGAGGAAGTTTAATTATAACCACCTGGTATTTTGCATTTTCTCGCTTTACTGAACTGATAAATCCAGCGATAATGCAAGCGAATCGAAAGAGTCCCTTGTTCTATGTTAATTGAATTTTAACGGTCATATGTGTTTCAGATTTCTTATATTTTTATTTCCAATTTAATATTTTAGAGTTAACTGATTTTATTAGTTATTTTCAAAAAAACTTTCTAGGACATTAGTTTATAACAGGGTTTAATATATTTCATTTTATATCTTGCGGGCATGAAATGTTAGATATCTGAAGTGACTAGCAATCAACATTTAAATGCAAGAACTACATCTACAAACAAACTTTCTACTGCCGTTTTCATATTTTAGTACTGTAGAGGCATTACGTATTTTGGAAGCAGGAGATGTGAAAAATGAGCAACGCCCTCACCGGCAATCGAACGACGGACCTCTGGAATACGCGCCCAGCGTGCAGACCACTACACTACGAAGGCATGCTAAGAAGGCGGGAGAAATAACTTATACTACAATTAATGGAAAACCTGAAATCATCTGGCGGATTTAGGTCACTTCAGTTATATTGAGTGTTATGTTATACGAGTATATTCAGTTATGTTACGTAAGAAAGAAATAAAAGTAAGGCTGGATGGTGATTATTTTTTAAGAAAAAATTTTAATGCTGATTAAGTAGGAAAGTAGAATACTTGGGGCAACAAATAATATAGCAGGAAATATTAATTGGAACTCGCCTGCTGATGCAAATCACAATTTCCTCTTGAATTTAGAAACAGATAATTACGTCACAGTGTTTAAAAAATATTATAGAACCTCTCAAAGGTCATTCTTTTTTGGCTATTCTACTTGATTTGTTTTTCGAAAAAGAATTCCCCAGTGAATTATTTAGTTACTTTGAATAACATCTGATTTTCGAAGTGCGCCATTAAGAATAACGTTGTATCATCAAGCATTTTAGGTGTTATTATATGCTAATGTTGTAATTTTTAAATACTGTTTTAATGATTTATTTTTGTTCTAATGTTATTAAATAGTACTTTACACAAAATTTAACAAAAAGTAATAATAAAAGCTGTTTATGTAATTTTTTAATTCCCAGTATGACTGCGAAGGAGCAAAATACTGGTCAAAAGAGTAAGTATAACAAGATTTTTAAAATCTTTAAACCTTCTAATCATATAATTTAGTCAGTAGATGTGTAGAGTTCTACTTGTATAGAAGCACTGGTTTAAATCAGTGTCCCTCGAACTCAAATAGCCTGACAGGTGTAAATTAAGATGACAGACTCTTGCAAAGATTAAGATAATCTTTTTGTTGAACTCTTTAATTAACAGGAAAGACCACTTGCACTACAGAATATAACTGTACCACTTGCGGGTATTTAAAATAACATAAGATAAAGTTAAGAACAAGGATCGTAGTCCGAGATTACACACAAAATAGTTTTCTTCAGATGGATCAAGTAATTAACATATCATTTTTAGAGTCTGCTGGCAAAATGGCTGAAGCTGGAATTAGCTTTGATAGAGCTGACGATAGTACGTAACTGCAAACAAGGCTCTAAAATAAACTCTCGTCTTAACTACTCGACAAATAATCTGCATTCAGGTGAGGAATACGGAAAGAAGTTGGTGTAAAGTTTCAAATCATATTAATTTGTTTATTAATATAAAATTTGATGCTCTTAAAGTAAATCAAATAAATTTCCCATATGAGATTCTTTTTAGGAAAGCAGTTTAAAGAACACAATACCGAGGATAAATTACGTTCTCCCCATGAATTCTATATGGACACCTCTTGTATTACGTAGGAAGAAAATATACTGTGCTTGTCAAAAATAAACGATATTGAAAGAAATAAGTTATTGAAAAATTATTAAAGACAGTTTCATAAAGAAACAATTTAAAATGAATTACCTTGTCAGTCAGTTGATTTATCTCAAAGTATCGTATTTAATGTTAAATTTATGCAAATTTAAAAATACAGAAACACGATCTGCCCTGTTTTGCAGCAAATCTTTCTTTAATATATTGTAAGATCTCATCCCCCTCAAATAAAAATGCAAACCTCACATCTTGACTTATTAAAATTAAAAATATGACTTATGATTTAAAAATAATTTTCATTAGTTTTTGTGGAATTGCCCGTTAGTGCACTTTCAGATCATGGAGGTATTTCGCAAGCTGGGGGGGGGCAGTTTGGTGATCTAAGGAATCTCACACAGGGCTCAGTCAGGTTCAAGAGATTGTGATAAAGAGTTAAATTAAAATTTACTATTGTTGAATAAAATTATGTTCATGCTTACCTTGTAACATTTTGTGCTCCATCCGTATATTTGAATTGTTTTGATATTTCTGCATAACTGCGTATATATCTAAATTCTTTCTTTGAACGTAAAATTGATTTTTAGTTCTTCGCTCTGAAGTTCTTATTTGCAAATTTAAAAATGACAGAAGCATGGTCTCGCTTGCTTTCCCGCAAATCATGCTTTAATATGTTGTATGATCCCCGTAATAAAAAAGCAAACTTCACATCTTAATTTCATAGAATTTAAAATACTTGGATCAGTTCTTATGGAACTGCAAATCAGTGTACTTTTGAAATCCTGGAGATTCTGGAGAAGCATTCAAAGCGGTGCAATTCGGTGACCTAAGGCATCCCACACATGTTCAATCAGATTCAAGCCTGGTGAGTAAAGCGGCCAATTTATTCAAGTGATATCTTCTAATCCAAGCATTCTGACACTAGAGCTGCTCGATGAGGACAAGCATTGTGATCCATTATCAAAATGATTGCCTAATAACCCTCCTTATTAGACTTAAATAGGGTTCATTCATTCCTCGTCCACCTATATACGATAGGTTACTTAACCTCTATCAAAAAATGGATCTCGGCGTGGGTATTTTTGATGATTCTATCCGAACCATGAAACCGCTTCATTGGAAATGTAACCATTTATGAACAAGGGATGGCAAATTGCGTGTCTGGCTGAACGGCAAATTGAGTGTCGGCAAAAGCTGTATTTTGATGTAGGGCAATCTATCGTTTATTGATGAGCTCAGATGCGGCCTAATACGATTCTAGCTGTATTTTGATCTGGGAGGCCGCATCTGAACTCATCAATAAACGATAGATTTCCGTACTTCCCTAGGCTTTGTCTGACATGACGACGACACCGCCTTTCTTGCATAAAGTCCAACCTCTTGAAGATTTCGTACTTCTGTACTACGGCTTTTCACATAGACGCTTGACAAATTCTTGGATCTAACAATGATAGAAAACCGTGTTTGGGTACAGTTGTTGCTCTTCGCCGCCTTTGGCCAGGGTGTCTGTTCACTGCTCCCAAGTTCCAAATGGTTCTACGTTTTGGGTGTTATTGAGGGATCTAATGATAGAGAAAAATGCCAGTGTTTCTAATACAAAAGCTTCGTTAGGAGCCTTTTTTTAAAACTTTCTCTGAAGAAGAAAAATTACCTATGTCTGATCATTCTAGAAATCGGTAGTTTTATTCAAAATCTGTGCTAGGCTAAGAATTATTTTACCTAATTCTAAACTTTAATAAGATATTTGTCTTTCTTCATTTGTGTTTGTTCCCTCTCCTCCCCTCGGGTCTATCAGTTAACTGACAGTTTTGCCATTCACTTAAATTATAGCTTTTTAATTATATTTAACGAATCCTGATCGCTGTCATAAATCACATTAACTTTAAACACCACTAAACACCAAAATTTCAATATGCATCCATTGCATAATACGTTGTATTATAAGTTGTCTAATTTGCGTATTTCATGGCTCAAACCAATACAGAGAAGCCTAGTTTCGCTTTTAGTTACAGATCTTTAACATAAATAATTACACCATTGAACATTTGTTGAAAACTTGAAATCAGTAAGCATGTCTTTCAGATTATCCTTTAATTCTGAAGAACTATGTGTATTCTTCGGAGCAAAGAAATTTGCTGCGAACTTCATGTGAAAAAAAGATTAATTTTAGCTTACGAGAAGACCTTTCCACTAGATAAATATACAGATGCGATTTTTATCGGAATGTAATTTAACCTTTTGTCGCATTTTCTACAAAACCCCATATATGTTCTTTTTAAGAATTATTATTATTCTTTCTTAAATTTAAGTTATTTTAATCAATTTAAATTGCTGCATTTTATTTTATAACCGTAATTTTTTGTTTAAGAAAGTATGTTAATTTATCTTCACAACTATTTACAAGATTTATATTTGCATTAGGTGTTCAACATTGGAAATTGATGTATTGTTTGACAGATTCGAGATTACCAACATTACTTACAATCCAAAATATGAGGTAAAGTACATATTTGGTTAATTTCATTTCACCATTTTAAATATGTAAAATGCAGTTTTCTTGTTCCTCCTTCCGATTCAAAATGTAATTTCTCTTTAAACATAAATTATTTTCTGTGGACTGCTTTTAGACATTTTTATTGGTAATCAATAGTCGCTATCTGAACTGTTATTTCATTCACTTTAAAAGAATTTCTCTTGTGCGATAAAAGTAAGGTATAATGTATTGCAAAGCAATGTTTTCCAGTTATCTACTCCCATAGTATAGTATAAATGCTTATGGTTTGAAATTTTATTTCCTTCTCTTCTTCATTTTCATTTGTTCCATTTGTTTCAATTTTTTCTTCATTTTGTTCATTTTGTTTCATTTTGTTTCAATTTTTTCTTCTTCAAAACCCTTCTTAAATGTGAAATGAGTGGCGAATTGTAACTAACGGTTTACCTCTTGTAGTACTTTGCTGTATTACTAACGCCATCTGTTGCAGAATTTAAGAACAACTATAAAACTAGAATCATGCATGCTGGGACGGTAAGTGTGTTGCGCATGTCACCAGATGAAATTACTGTATGAGTAAATTCATCTGGTGGTATGCGCAATAGTTTGCTTAAGATTGTATCACATTATAAATTGAAACGAACCTGAAGGAAATACAACACTGGTAAGTAATGAAAAGTTTAATGGGAAAGAGGTTTTGACTGACAAATTAATATATTTTCATGTGCTTCAGTAAAATTATCAAAAAATGTCACTTTAAATAAATATACTTTTGTATAGTCTTTAGGTGATAAAATATCACTTTGTTGTAATAAGAAAATATTTACTGGAAAATGTTTTTATTTAAGTAAGTGCTTGAACATATTTTCTCTTTCTTTCTTAGATGTGTGCATACGTGTACGCAAATTCCATACACATTTATTTGTAATTAGTTATTCCAGATATATAAGACTGAATTACTGTAAGGCCAAAAGTAATTGCACTTCTAACTATCGATCTGGTGCATCCTTCCAAAATATAATGTAGAGCCTATTAAACTTTTCGAAGCCAAGAAATAGAAAATCAACCGTGCCTTCTCCGGGATTGAGACCACAGATCTTCTACCTGGATGAGCTAACCACATACCAATGACAATTCCTTATAATATTTAAAATCGTTAATACTTCGCCATTCGTGTATAATAGGCGCCACGTAATATGTTCACTTTTATCTACCGCTAGTTTGATAACATTAAGCCATACGAAATAATATCCCTCAAAATAGCAGTGAAATTTAACTAATTTAATGTAAGTAGAAACATATTGTTAAGAATTTATATTTAGATAGTTAATTTTAGCAGAATTACAATTAAAATTTATTTTATTTTCCCCTGCAGTGCAGCGCTAGACGAATTTTAAGAGAAAATTAAGTCGGGAAAGTAAAAATACAGGAGCACATGCATTTAACATTGAGTAAGAGTTTATCTCGGTAATTTATATTTAAATTGAATAAATGTAATTGAACACTATGTTAGATATAACCATAATTCCACTCTTTTTGCTTTCCAGAAATCTCGAGAAGCAGAATTTACTAGAATGATCTCACGCCGCGTGACCGATTGAAAGCTATAAAAAAGCAGAGAGAGAACAACTCAGCTCAGTTGTTTAGTTAGCTGCTGTTGTTATTATGGCGATTTAAGGGTGAGATCGGATTAGCTTTCTTTTTAAAGGCGCTGTGAATTGAGATCTATTTAACATATTTGCTTTCTACTGATTAAATTGCGTGATATAGTGAACACTTGTACGAGTATCTCTGAGGAATATTCCGGCGTTCTGCTATATTTCTTTTGATAAGAATAAATTTTATTAACCTTTTATCGGGCCTGTGCTTTCAGTTTATTACGAACTCGTGCGCACGCGACACGTTTTAGTGTCAGAAGGGGGAATGAATGCCAGAGACAAAAAGCGATGGAAGAAGAATCAAGGCAGTTGGTGTTTTACTATTTTTAGAGTAGTATAGTGTGTTTTACTATTTTTATAGTAGTACAGTATTAGTTTTATTATGTTAACTTACACACAAAATTTCATTTAGATCTATCATTCACCTCTGAAGAAAATCAACCAAATGTTAAAATTCTCTTACTTTTCACACCAGAGTATCTAAAGTGACAAAGTACACTTACACCAGTCTTCCCGTTTATGAGTAAGCTTAGTTTGCATCGCTGCTAAATAAGTTCGAGAAATGAGCTTTAAGTAATTTATGTACTGACAGCAGAGTACTGAAATGCATGGCTCGAATTCGCTGTTTAGTTTGCTCTGATGATATCTTTTGCTAAAGGCACTAAATTTTCTTGGGAACCCAGACAATGCGAATGCTTTACAGAAAAATATAAAAAGTGTGCCTTCTGTTTAACAATAATCTCACGACAACACACAACTTCTTGATCAACTAAAGGAACGCCGTATTGCAGAACTGAGTGATACATCATTTACCCCAATTGAAGAAACAATGTGCATTCTATGTTATATGGGCACCTAATACGTGGGCAAATAGCTGGAAAACGTTGTTTGCCTGTGTAGCGCCCGTTGCCGAGTGGTTACTTATGCGCAATTATGACATCGGAGGTAGGATATTGATTTATTATTTTATGGCAACATGTAAACATTTATTATGTACTATGTTGCGTACAATTACATGCGTTAGTTTCTACAAAATTACAGATTATCAATTTCACCCCACTAAATCTTCAGTTTGTCTCGTCTCTAATTCTTTCATTTACATATAGCGTGCTACTTACTTTTCAGTTTAACGCTTAATGATGCTCAGCTGTAGAGTTCGTCCGCATATATCATAGTATAAAAGTTCTGGGGGAGTTTTTTAATATTAGTAACTATGCTCATCGTTTTCTGTGGCCGAAATATTTTAAGTTTTGAGTTATGAAGATGTATTTGATAATTATTTTCTTAACTTTATGACAACTTTGATGAGATGATAGTTTATTCCAAACCTATTTTATTGTGTTGACATCTGAACTTGGTGAAAGTTACATTCATTAAATCGTGTTTAACTTATTCCAAACCTATTTTATTCCGACTGTGAGCCAGATCAAATCGCCCATCCTAAACAATTGATCTCAACAATATGCTAATCGAGGAATATAAAGCAGTTCTAGCAACAGCACTTTAGAATCTAAAGACACGTTTTGCCAGAAAAGTAATGAACTTAATGTTCATCACTTAACGGAGCAAAAGAATGGATTACCTTACCATTAAGTTATGCATATTATAGCTTGCATACTGAGGAGATCTTTACATGCTCTTGGAAATATTTATTTATTTATTTACAAATGCTTAGTTTTTAGCACGTAAACCGTTAGCCTCTTCCTTCCTAGTATTTTGGGAGTCGGAAATTAGAACTATTAAATGAAGGGCACATGTTTTTTGTCCATAGGTTTTCCAGAGTCACAAAGATAACACACTAGAGAATTTCTGATGTAAAAGGGAGGAGAATTGAGGTAATCATGCTCGATCAAAATATTGAATGGCTTAGTTTCAACAACTATAGTTTCAAAAGAATGAAGGATGTTATATTTCTCGTCTAAAAGAAATTAACAAGCGTTTTCCCTAGCTTTTGTTTGCAAATTTGAATCACGAATCTTATACAATTTCGTATTTATCAATATTCATATCTTAGCAGAATGAAAGTTCATAAAACTTCTAGATTTGGGGAGGACAGACTTTCTTTTTTTTACCAGAAAATTTGCATTCTTACACCGGTGTACTCCACAGTGCGGTAGCGCCCACTGTAGCATTATTGAGTCAGCAGTATCATTCAAAAGATACAGACACTCATAAATGCATTTTGCGTCGCCACTGCGGTTGCTGTTAAGAACCTGAGAGACAGACCTAAAGTCCGAAAGAATGCTGGTTTCGGCGAACGAGGTTCTACATTAGCAAAGCTGTTGCATAGTCATATAAGTTGCTTCCAGTTCTCCATCAGAGCTAGTGATATTAACACCGATTGCTTTACAGAAGGAAAATAGGTTGCTGGGTACACCACACCATCTCCCTCGCCAATATCTTGGTCTTCATTAAACCGTCAGTATATACGTGAGTCCACCAATTTGGAAGAAAACAGCTTTCAGTAGCTTCTATTGCTACTGAACGGGTTGTAAAGTCACACATTTCTTCCTTGTGAACTTTTAGACAACAAAGATCCACTTGGATATTACTGAAATATAGGGGCTTCATAGTCCCATTAAAAGGTCATATTTTCCATAAACTCTAGCCACACTAAGACCTTTTGCGTTACGTTTGGAAGTTCACCTTGGCTTCAACCAAGCTAGTTCACCTCAGTGTTTTGATTTTATCAAAGTAAAGCATGACAAAAGTTTAAAAGATTCACGATGAAGTCTGGTAAGAATTTAGCTAAGTGAAAGTTTTCTTTAGATTGGGGAGGGTTTTGTACATCTATGAAAGCATTTTTGCGAAATAGCCCAACCAGTGGGCGAAGTGATTAAGACAGCTGAATACTGAGAATTTGACATTTGCTCTTTCCGCGGCGAATGGGCTATTTGCATAGATGACTTTCATGATTTTCCCTATTTGTAACGTGAATAGGAGCCAGTTTCCCTTAAAAAGACCTTCACGAAGGATTTCTTCTATTAGGCAGATAACCTTCGTGTGCTTTGATATGCGAATAACCTAGAAATGTTTGAAATTAAAGAAAAATACAAAACTGTGAGTTAAAGAATAATATAACTTTTATTTATTTAAAAGGAATCTTAAAGCGGCAAAGCATTTTAATATCCTCCTTTGTTCTTTTCTTTTTTTAGAGTCTTGAAGTATTCAGTGTTATTGGTGGATACATGGGAATGTGGCTTGGTGTTTCTCTCTTGGCTGTTTATGACTTCATTGGAACCATTATAATGTTTATTAAAAGCAAGATAAAGAAAAGGAAAAGGAAGAAAGTTACTCCATTCAAAAAATTGTATTACTAGTATTATAAAACAATATGAAATTATTTCCGATTACAACGCGCACCATTTCGTCATTTATTACCAAAATCTTAAGCCCCGCCTTGTACATAACACATCTGATAAATTTGATTAAACAAATAAAGTAGTATTATGTAACTGCTCATAATTTAGTAATATAAATATCGCATTACGCTAGTTTTCAGGTTGTACAGTAGACAGATAGCATGTACCAGATAATAAATAATAATATTTAATGTAATAAAAGTTCGTAATTAAAATTTATTATTTTCATTACTTTGTATTTTGTACGTGTATTTCATTACTTCATGCTAATTTGAATTTTTTTAAATAAAAATATTTCACAATTTTATTAAAGTAATTATAATTCAATTACGCTCTTGCATCTGTTAAATCTGAAAACCTTGCAACTCTGTAAGCCTAATTAAATTATGCTTCAGAATCTTTACTGTCATTTTATGATACGAATCAACACTGAAATATGATATACTGTTCCGTTAAACACGTGCAGTATTTAATGATTTGCGTTAGTGGATCTACTCTAATTGCTGTAATCGACATAGGTATACTTGATTCTAATAAAAGAGTGCTAAAAGTTTTAAATTTTGAGTTTTGCAACATTCTTACTACAGCATTCTGTTTAGAAAGGTGAAGCTGATTTCCACGCATTTTAAATAATTGATTTTAAATAGTTGCTTTGATTAGTTTTAGAAATTAGTTAGTTATTTCTTTCCAGTTTTTAACGACTGAAATCTTAATATGTGATTAATTTCAAAAACTGAAGAATTTTTTAAAGAAATAAAGGAAGTGTATGAAGAAGTAACTGATTAATTAATATATGAAGACGTGAAATGAAGTATGAAGGAAGTAACTGATAATATGAAGAAAGTAACTGATGAACACGAAGAAAGTAACTGATTAATTAATTTGAATATGAAGTATATGAAGAAAGTGTGAATGAAGTATATATGAAAAAGTATGAATGAAGTATATATGAAAAACGTATGAATGAAGTATATATGAAAAACGTATGAATGAAATATATATGAAAAACGTATCAATGAAGTATATATGAAGAAAGTAACTGATTAATTAATTTGAAGAAATATCAAGAAAGTAACTGATTAATTAATTTGAAGAAATATCAAGAAAGTAACTGATTAATTGATTTATTCTTTTCTATATAAATATTTGTATGACTGTAAATGATATCGTATTTTAATTTAGAGGATTCCATTAAATATTTGTATTCATTTATGCAGCCTATCTACTTCAGAAAAGTTTATTTGGTTGTACGACACTCTTTTCTCGCGTTTCAGAGCAACGTTTGATACTCCTATGTTTCCCGAATTATTTACTAAAGCACAGTTTCTTAAAAGACACATAGTGTCTTCATAGTGTTTTCCTTTTATTCTGTTACCACATATTAGTATACACTCAGAATATAACTAAACATATTATTTTCTTCATCGAACCATAAATGACACAAATCACTCTGTCATATCAAACCATGGGTTGTCCACATGCAATCAGCAAACGGTTCCTTTTTATCTTCAGTGGAATTGGAATGTTTGAGAAGCAGCGTATTTATTTTTATACAGGCTATTTCCATTTTAATTGGTGAATGTCTAGTTACTTGCAACAGTAGTTCATAATATACACAAACATTTTATAAGCACGGAAACGTAAATTATTATATAATACGTGGTGTTGCAAGCTGTCGTCCGAAACGTAAATTATTATATAATACGTGTTGCAAGCTGTCGTCCGTCTTTTACAGCAGTAACCATGTTTCGAGTTAATAGCTGACTGAGGTGTTGAAAATGACACACAAGCATTGCTGTGTAAACAATTTTAGGAGCACAAGCATGCATAGTTCCGGGAGATGTTCACGACTCGAACTATCTTTGCGTTTCTTCTAGTATATAAAGTTAAGATCAGACGATTGTCGAGGTTATTCTGGACTGATAGTCGAGGCACTTGCTTCCGATGTGGAGCACCAAGTTAGCTATGAAATATTTAAAATTCATTTTAAAAAGAAGCTGTAATTGTCAAAATTAAACTCTGAAAACGCATCAAAGAACTCCATTTTAAAACATCATATTTAAAGTAACAAAACTCTGTAGGCATTATTTACAATAATTTAAAATTTTATCCTTTCTTTAATGTTCTTTCTTTTCTGATATTTCTTTAATTTTCTGTCCTATGTGGCCAGACTCTGATTTCCATTAAGTGTATATTCGTAGCCATCTTTTGAGTCAGAATGGCGCTTGTAAGTTCACGTTTTGACCCAGCATTATGTCACCATTAATTATTGAAATATAAATTAACTCTTATACTTTATTATCTTATCTAAGTTTATTATTATTAGCCTTTTGGTTTCCAATAATTCTTAGAAAGGAGTTAAAAAAAGTTTTAGACTATAAAAAAATGCAACTAATTTCTGATTTTACCTCAGTTCCGGCCCTAGTTTTCAGGGAGATCACCCCCGGGGGGGACAGGTCTGAGAGTCTCCCATCCCTCTTTCCCTACCACCAATCTCTCGCGAGGAGATGCATGGCTGTGCTGATAGTATCTGAATTTTCGTCCAGCCAGTTGTTACATGTAAACGTATGATATTGAATGTTAAGGCATGACAAAATTAAAGGAAAGCATGTGTTATGAAATGGCGCAGATGTTCGGAAAGTATATTTTCACATCGAGACAGACGACTGATGTGTGTTTAGAAAGTAAAATTCTTTTAATTAAAAACCTTCAGACGGATTGTTCTAAAGGGAAATAAAACTTTATTTTGCATCTAGCTAAGTTGAAATAAGTTCAAATAGCTAATAAAAATATTACTTGGTCAGCTCTGATGTAACATTTGAATATACATCCTTGCTCTTGACATTCCTAGAACCAATGGCAATGTGGTGGATGCCGGTGTTAGCTCGCCTAAACCTGCCGTCACTTAAAGTTACGAAGTGTTTTTCAGTGGGTGCTTCAGTGTCTTTGGAGAGTGGCAACAGCGTAGAAACCAAACATCGTAACGTAGAGGAGAGCGTATGTTTGAGCATTCTTTCTCGATATTTGCAATTGTTTCTTCTTGCGAGAGCTAACTGGTCACCGAGGACTCTATAGAGTTCCCTGCCAGCATTTTTTAATGCGAGACTAAATGACACCTGCTTCGTGAGTGGGACTGCAAATCATGTGCATTAATTTGGTTGGTCGCTGTCTTTATGGTCTGTGATTCCAGTGGATGAATGTGCCTAGTTGGGCCTTTTTTTTATGGCGTCCTCCATCATCAGTGTTTGGAGCGGCATGTCTTCGTTCGTTGTCACCAATATGATAGACCCAAACGTTAATTCGATTAGCTGCTGCCGTCTTGTGGCGCCATTTGTTAAAAATATTATTAAGTATGACGCAATATCATGCCTTAGTAGAATGCTAGTTTTGCCATTTCTTACAGGATGGTCGTCGTATCGTTTTGGATAGCTTGAATTCTCTGAAAACGTTTACCGATAGAGTTGTCTTGATAAGGTAGAAAAAAAATGGAGTCAAAGGGTGAGAAATATGGCAAATAAAGTGTTGTGGATAGACAGGTATCTGTTTAGTATGATAGAAATCCAAATTTCATTTCTCAGATGCTTTTTCTCCAAAATAAAGACATCGTACCGAATGATCGAAGGATACTTTAATTCTGTGTTCACTACAAACTGAACTGTCTCAAAAGATGCCACTTCATTCCTATCTCCTTTCGCTAATACTCTCTGAGCCAAATCAGTTACTTGACTGAAAAGTTTCATGCACGGGTTACATGCATGAAAATTAATGGTAACTGATTTGGCTTAGAGAGTTTTGTTTTCATGAATAGTTTGAACGTTTTCACGAACTTCATGAACCCAGACTGATACTTTTATTTTTTGCTGGATATTAATTTACTGACAACATTTATAGACTGTATCTTCTACATGAAGGATGTTTTTCAGAAGTATTCAGGCAAAAAGACGCATACCATATTTAGGTACAGAACAGTGAAATCAGATATGACGGAATCAAAATGTTCTTTTCTCATTTTCTCATATTTTGAAAGTACCAACATTTATTGCTTTCTATTCTTTCAAAGTCGGAAAGAGAAATAATAATAATTTAATAATCTTCTTTTATTTAATAGATGTTTCGTGCATGGATGTCAATACAGTATAGAAATGCTACTCGTACTAATTTTTAGTTTCCATTTAGAGACGGTTATAGATACCAAGAATTAGAAACATTAAATGGCTTATGATTGCTCCAAAATTTCAAACTCCTGCTATATTTTAAAAATAATAATTCTAAAATTTAAAATTCGTGTTGTATTTTAAGAAAAATTCCTAAGTTTTTTTGACCAAAAAACCAGCTAGTTTCTTTCAGAAAGTCCTGCACGAAAGCCTCCGTCTCTTTAGACAGATATAAATCGTGCCCTTTGCCATAGTACACATAATCCAATTCTAAACTATTTCATGTTTTCGATGCGAAAGTCAATCAATTAAGTTTTATACAAAACGGTAAACATTCAAATTTCTGAAACGTCTGAGGGAACAATGACTAATGCTTTAAACTGGTACCTAAAATTCAGAACCTAATCACTTATATCAAATAGTTAATGCCTATTTGGTTGGATTAAATGCATTGCCAAGACAGAAATGTCAATCTATAAATATATTTTAAAATGAGCTATGTTTAGTCGCGAAAAGTTAAAAACTTAGAAGTTATTAATAAACATTAATTTATTGATAAGCATAGATTAAGTATTTATAAATTTCTTAAAAGTTAATATTACGAAGCGTAGAAGGATTATTAGATTATGACAGTCTGATGTATCTTATAACGATGTACAACAAACTAATAATCTGCATCTAAAACCTGGATTAAAGGATACTGTTATCTTAAAATATTAGAAAGGATCATTTTTGCAATTCATGCAAGAAAATTAGATTAGTTTAAAGGTATGCAATTTTCTGAGTGAAACTGCCGTATTTATGTTTAGATACAGATTTCTTCAATATTTAAAGCGCATACTTCGATTTCTGTGGCATATGGATGAAAACTTGGGTAATTTAATTTATTGTGAGTTTCTGTGAAATAGCCTCCTTCATAATACTATATTATTACAATTAGAAGGATAAACCCTATAATATAGTAGATAAAGCAAATTAAGCAAATTAAAGCAAATAAAAAAAGCAAAAAAAGCTTCTAAAATAAATTTACATTTTCTGCCCCTTTAATTTCCTTAATTTTTAACACCTCTTTCTGACCCACGTAACAAGGTTTAAGACTTATCTTATAATTTCAGGCGCGGTGGCTTCGCTCAGAAAAATCCTCGGAAATTATTAAAATTTCTGATTTATTGCAGTAACAACAATCAAATTATTTAATGAGTATGATGCTTTAATGAATACTTGTTTAACACTTATTTATTCTTAACACTAGAAAGCCATCGCTTATTAAATGAAAATAATGACATCCATGATGAAACTAGCAACTTCCTTAATATAAAACGTGACCTCTCTACGGCATTTTTCTTGTTATTTATTTCAACCCATAAAAGAAATAATCTGCTATACAGATTAAGAATCTACTTTTGTCGAATCATTTTGTGGAGATTTATTTAATTTTACTGACAGTTAATTTTTAGTTAATGCAAATTTCCTTTCATTCTCGTTTTTACCTACGCTTTCCTGACCCAATGTTAATAAGCTAACTCGCGTGTATTCAAATGAGGCAGAAAGAAGGGCTATTTAAAGAAAGTTCAAAACGTGATTTTAGGGCCCGTCATGCCTGCTTGAAGGCCACGTTGCTATTTTGAATTACTAGCGATTAGATTGCTGTGGCGTTGAGTGCTTCTAGCCTTTAGACTTGTTTCCTCCGACATCTACGAGTCAGAGCCTTCCTGAGCGTTAAATTATTCTGTGAGCCGTTAGGCTAACTTTATTACTTTCTATTTTAAGCTCATCGTTTCTTTTGAGTTTTGAGTTAAGCCAGAGGTGCTGGCTTTGTGTAAGTCTAAGTGAGGCTATCTGTGCAATTATATCGAATGAATAAAGGGTTCTTTACACTCTTCTTCTGACTTTTCTGTTGTAATTAAGAACCTTGGAATAATTCCTTACACAATCTTTTAGAGCTCGTTACTTTATGCTCCCACAGAGAATGAGACTCTGTAAATTTACTAAAGCTTTCCTTCTTCATTTTAACTTGAATACGTTAGCATTTATAAATCAGAACATTAGTTTAAGACTTTACAGAAGACTTTAACTTAAGCATTTGCAGAAGTTAAAGCCTTAAACATTCTTGTTTGTACTAAATTAAGTCAAATTTTTTAAATGCTTTTTGTTTGAATCTGTCTGATTTGAATTATTAATAGAGAGCAGTAATTTCTAAAATTTCTATTTCGAATTTATGGCTTTATTAACCTTTAAGGTGCGTGCTAATTCTGAACACGGAAATCTCTTCTCGTTTTTCAGATGCATGCTGTACTTTATTCGTACTATTTCTGCATTTCTTATTGCAATATATGTTTCATTCCAGTGGTTATAGTATTCTATGTGAGGCAGAAAAACATTAAAATGTCCCCTTATTATGAAGTGAGGAATACTATATTTTTTATTGAGTTAAATATTCTCGTTCAACATTACAATTAATTACAAAAGTTAAAGGAATCTATTTGAAGTTGTGAAAAGCTGGAATATTATTCTGTTTAAATGAAGACGTTATTTTGTTAACAAATAAAAATAACGATAGTAGGGTTATATACAACAAACTGAAAATATTCATGTGTAAATACAGTGTCTTAGAGCTTTCTTTCATTCCACAAACATAAATTTTAGACATTATACAGTTAATTTTTCACAACAGCTGTGTGATTCGAAATAAAGAAAATTCACAAAGAAGAGCAAGCTGTTCCGTAAATGACAGTAGAATCTTTTTTATTTATATTAAGTTAATGCTCGTGAATTTGGTATATTTTATGCTGTAAAATGTAAAAGTGACTTTCATGAAAAACCAACTTTGGCTAATTACACTTTTAAAAGGCAAAAATTCAAAATAATAACAATAATAATAATAAATAACAGATTTCCCTACTCGGGAATTTTTCTTTTAGTTTTATCTAACAATACCTTAAAAGCTGTTGTTCCGTATCATGAACTCACATTTAAACTGGAAAAATGCATTCAGTGAAATCTTGTGTATCATAAAAATTCTTGCAGTTTATTGAACAGCGGCTAAACAGTAAAACAGCTTTGACGATGACGTTTTACATCTTAGGAATTGAAGCATTCCGTTAATATTAATAATTGAATAATATTTGCATCTCATTATTCGGATTAACAACTGTGGAAAGCTTTTCACAGAAATATCATAGTCAAGGATGAAAATAAAGTACACAAAAGCAGTTAGTTAATGCACGAATATCAAGTTAAGATTCTATCAACAATCCGGTTGAATACCCTCTGCTCCGTTTGTTGTCTCGTTTTCTTTCACAGGAGAGACACAATTATTTTCAACCTTATCTTCATCTTTTTGTGGCCTAATGGGTGAATCATCTGGTGAGAGAGGAGGTCCTTTGTCTCCTGTGCTTCCATTGCAAGTTACTTCCCCTTCCATGCGATTTGTTTCGTTTGGAGTACCTTGATTTTTCTCCTCCTCTTGGCTAGAAGGATTTTCGTCTTCGCATAAAGGCGGCATGCCCTCTGGTGGTGCAGGGGATGATGGCATAACAGGGCTCTGCGAAAGATAATTTAAGAAAAAAATTAACTTGTACCAATTGAATAGAAAAGAACTAGGTGTCCTTTAACTACTTCTCAGTTCAAGTAATTTCAAATAATCTTCAAAAAGTTATATTATTTTGTGTCAAGGAAGTTACGTTTTTAAACAAAATATATGTGTAAAATGAAATATAACGAAAATTAAAATAAATAGATAGAAAATAAATAACATTTATAAGATATAAGATAAACAATTACCGTTGCCTATTTAATACTATCTTTTTTTTTTCATGCATGCTAGCATGAGCAGTGAACTACTTTTACATTGGTTGATATTTTTTATGCATTACACGTAACAAAATTTCTAAATGCAGATTAATATTTTATCTTTGTATGATAGATTTTAAAATAAACTGGCAACAATCCTAGGTTTTTTTTTTTTTTTTTTTTTTTTTTTTTTTTTTTTTTTTTTTTTTTTCCGCACGTGTAGCATGATTATTTAGTGTCATAGGTTTCGGATACGAGAAATGTGGAACATGATATATGAAACGTGAGCTTCCGATATGGGGGACGTAAATGTGGTCGCAAGTCATTTCAGTGATCTCATTCTTCAGGGTAACAATAATTTTTAGCGCTACCATATTTTATCATCATGAACAATTCTCGAAGAGTTGTAGAGTTTTCATACTAATTCATATGAACAGACAGGGTACCAAGAAGTGAAAATCTAGGTGGAGGAAATTTTTATCAGTTTAAAAAAAATTAAAGCCTTCTCTAAGTCGTCATCAGACCTGATTTCATAATAAAAATATGTGTAGAATTCCGATGAGATTCCTTTTTGCTCAATAAATTTTCATAGGCGCTAAACATAATGTACATAAACTATACTTCAGAGAAACTTACATCTCTGGTATGTGCATTAATAATAAATCAATAAGATATTTAATAAGGCAAAGATGAAAATGAACCGAGCAATTTCGTTCTACAATTGATAGGTTAAAAAAACAAGCTATAATAAATTAAATGTGCAATCAACACGCAAGGTTTGAATATGTCGGTATGACGCATGGGCAAATCACGCTTCACAGAAAAGCACTGCCCGTAAGATATGCGATAAATACTGCTATGTGGTTAATTTTTTTTTCCTGCGTTATTATTCTCTACAATCTCTAAATGTCATTTACAAGAATAGACGCACTATCATTAACTTCCTAATATTAGCAAGTCTCATTTGTCTGCTCTTTAGCATATGGTTGAATTCCATGCGATCACTAAAGATTTTCCTCATATCCGAGTGTATAATTCATATGTGACATTCCCGGTCATGCCGAACAGCTGGAACTGCTTCACAAATAATTCTAAGCTGACGATAGTTCAGATATGATGAAAAGTCTGATAAAGAATCCCGGGGTGAGTGCAAGCCAAACGTCTGGGCATTTAGTGAGTGGAATAATTTTGTTTAGTCTCATCTCAAATTTGATCGAGAAAAGCTCCGAAGGATGGAAGCTGAGAATCTCATTTCCTTCTTCACCAACAAATTGTAAAGGCATTAAGTTATTCTGAAGAAGGACGTGTGAAAAATGTGCAATGCCTTCGACGGGACTCGAACCTGGACCTATCGAATACGTGCTAATTGTGCTACCGTTACACCACAAAGGCATGCTGGAAGGGGGAGAAAATACCTTATATACTCTCCTTTTTAAACGGCGACTAGAAATTAAGGCAGCCAACTGCCAAATCCTGGTGGTGACGAATTATTGTTCATCACCTTTTAGTTCGAGCGCCACTGCAGAGTCACTAGAATTTTTTTTTAAATAGGAGAAAACAAAGGTGTGCAGTGCTCTTGCTGGGCCCCGAACCCGGACATCTCGAATAGGCGCCGAGTGTGCTTCCAATTACATCACGAAGGCATGCTGGATGGATGGAAAAATACATTATAAACTAACCACTTAAAAGGATTTTCATATCGATGAATTCTCCAAATGGGAAAGACAATAGATAACGCAAAACATGCATAATTTGCCAAGAATTCAAGGCCAATGCCATAGAGGCCGCATTTCGTTGATCATCATTCCAGGAGCATTCCAGGTTAGTAAGAATGAATCAACATATATAATATATTTTTATGTATCAAAATATATAAAAATTGGTTGAACATAAATGCAATAATTAAAATCGGGGATAAGAAAACGGAATATTTTACCACGTTATTTAAATTTGCAAAAATTTCGTTCTATGGGTAATTATGGAAAATATGATTAATGTTTTTTCTTCTTTCATTTGATGTGCCGTACATTAGTGCGCTTACAGCGAAGGACACCGTAAACATTTATGGTACATTATTTAGGGTATTTTCCAGATATGACTCTGTAAAATAATTCGAATTTATGTTGTATTGTATATGAAGAAATTTAAACATATTTGCAGAGTTAGGTGTTTTCGAACTTGAGGACAAAATGCAATCTCTGTAGGAGAAAATTCGCATTTTTAAAATTTTCTTCCGTATATACATGGATTACATTGATAAACTGAAATAATAACGAGAACACAATCCGAACTCTTTTAAAGATATTATAGTCTTCTACATTTTTTAATTCTAATTTTTTAAACTTTGAGAGCCAAAATGCAGTGTCATGCCCGTGGTACTTCCTATATTTGAAAAAAGGAAATAAATCTAAGTTTTAAGGGGCTTATAAAATAGATTCTTAAAATTTATGAACTGTTTTATATAGCACTGAAAGAAACCTATTTGAGCTAAATTTTATTGACAGAAAAGCCTTTTGAATTCTTGAATATCGTACCTGTGTTTCTGAGCCACCGTGACTGCTTCCCCTTTCCGATCCAGATCTTGAATGTATTTTTGGTGCGGCCTTTTCTTTGAAGTGTAGTTTTTCGGATTTAATTGCGACATTACCTCCTCCTGGCTTATGTTTTGCATTCTCCAAAGATCCTACTTTTGATGTGACTTTTGATTTGAAATCTAATTTTTCCGTAGTCACCTATGTATAAAGAAACTGATTCAGAAACTTAATAGAGAACACTGTCATGGAAATATTATTTTTATAACATTTTCCCATTTATTTTACGAATAATTATTAAATAAAATGAAAATATTTTCAGGAATTTAAAAGATTCATGGAAATATTATTTTTATAACATTTTCCCATTTATTTTACGAATAATTATTAAATAAAATGAAAAATATTTTGGAGGAATTTAAAACAGATTCAATACTTGCATCTACTGTAGTGTACAGTGTAGCAAATTAATTTTTAATGTAAGTAAATGAGGAGAATTTTGGTCACGTAACGGTGTAAGATTACGCATACAATACGCGTTTTTAAGTAAACCTTCAACTATAGAGTTGTATAAAATGTTCTTATTTTTTAATTGCATTTTCAGTCTATAAACTGTGTGTTGTAAAATTTGGCAAAACTCAGCTTTACCAATTTATAGAACAAATTATTGAGAGAATTTGAATTTAAATTTAAGTTTCATGCAAATGCTTTAAGGACTGAACCACGAATTTTATTAAACTAAGAAACATAATTTATAAGTTCCTGTTTGAATTCTTAAACACTTTATAATATTCCTTGTCAGTGCGGTTGAACATTCATCGATCAAACTAAGAAGAATAAGAAATTAATGAATATTCCTCCACTGTTTAAACTGTTGACTGTTTAAACTGTCCACTGTTTAAACTGTTAAATAATTTCACTAGAATGATAGGTGAAAATCAAATTCTGCCCTTCCTAAAATATTTTTATGCTTTACTTAATAATTTTTGTCCGTTTCCATTGATTTGTCAATAATGGAGCTATAATACGCAATATCGCGTTTTCAAAACTTATTTTTCCTTCATTTGTAGGTACACTAGCAAATAAATGGTAACTGAATAGAAGTGGACTCTACATTATATCCTTCATTAAGCATTCGCAACTGAAAATTTTATAGATGGACTATTTAAATTTTTATAAAATAAGTTTGCAATCAGAAATAGTATCCCCGAAAAATATGTAAAGCTCTCGCCGAGATTCGAACACTGAACTTCCCGATGATAGTCGGGCATGCTTCCAATTACACTACGAACGCACGCGGAGAAAATACCTTGCAAGTTTATTAACGATACAAATACAATTAAAGATGATTCTATAGCTCAGTGAAACTCCTACCTTTACATTTCCTCCTCCTGGTTTGTGCTTTATATTATCCTTAGATCCAATCTTAGACTGAACATTTTTAAAATCAATTTTCTGAGTTATAATTTTTTTATCTCCGCCACCTGGCTTATGAGTAGCATAATCCAAGGAGCCAACTTTAGGTTTAGCGTTCCATTCCAGTTTCACTGTTTCCACCTGAAAATAAAGACAAATATTTTATAACACACATTTATATTATGAATACAGGAGATAAATATATTCATGTAGAAGAAGAAAGTGTTAATTTATTACGGGGAAAATACAAACGAGGAACATACAATCATTATAAAAATCATTATAAAGATGATTATGATAATATTTTGGAAGAAAATATTTTCCATCCAAACGATTTTCTGTTTCTTACTCAAAGCATGGAAAGTATCATTAATAGTATAAGATCAAAGATTAACTTTACAATTCTAATTTGGATTATTCATTACTTCATTATTTTCATAAAAACTGAACAGCATGATTTCGTTTAAATACAACAAGAAAATGTTCAAGAAATTTACAATAAAGGTGTCTATTCAAAGATGAATTAAGCACTAAACGTGGTAAGAAAAAAGGATTTATTCACACTGAAACAAATTTGCAAGAATATATTTTTGTTACTGCAATAGAGTTAGAGAAAAGTAGCAGAAAACACAACATCTAATTAGGAACCCAAGACATGCACTTTTTGGACATCTCAAATATTCTGCTAAAGGCAACATCTTTCAGTTTTGACCTGAATAGAGAAATTTATCACAAAAGTTGGAAACACCTTAGAGAAGATGAACAAAGCATCTGTGAACAAAAGAAGTCATGCAGTGTATATGAGACAAAGCTATGAACCTGAAATGCCTATATAGTGATAGATGGCAGTCTAATAAGCTCAGAAATATGCAAAGCAGCAAAATGGCGGAAATTAATTTATTATAAATATTTATAGATATCATCTTACATTTTATATCAATCATAACGCAAAGTGGGCATGCTACTTTGTGTTGTGATACATATATTGAACAAGAAGAAAAGTTTCAAAACTAGCATTCATAAAGAAACATTTTAAGATTAGCATTAACTTTCTACTAGGCTGTGACGTTGAATGTCAATAGCTTGTCACGACTCATTTCTACGCAAATGGAATGGTTGTATATGCTTTACACACCTTTCCCCAACGTATAACACTAACGCAACTCTATGTACTATAGAAAGAACCTCCTCGGAAGCATATCTCATAAGCTCTAATAAGAAATCTTTTTTTTTATTAAAAAAAAAAGAAATCCTCGTACACCACAAAGTATCACACGAGACTTACAAATCGTAAGTAAAAAAAAGGCAAAATCGTAAGTAATAACATCAATTTTCAATAATACAATCAAATAAAACACAAAGGAAGAAACACAAAAAAAGTAAATACAAAAAATATATAAATGTGTGAAGAAATCATTTACAGTGTTTAAAATAAAAGTCGACAAAGTCGTCAAAAGATCGGTAGGCCTACGCTGAAGATACAAAATCATAACATTTCGGCGGCCAATGAATTCCAATTAATTAAGATAGCGTTTGCATTCTTTTTCACAATTAGTTAACCAACCAAGCTTGGTCATAAAACAAGCATCTCAATATCAACAATGGTTTAACCTTGCATTAAAAATGTATTTCTTCAGCACAAAATGCAGATGTTAAATTAAGTATTGCTCATCCACTGCATTTATTTAGAACAAAATCTACATGTGCAGCAGATAACCTCGTTTTTTGATCGCAACTACTCATTAACCTCATTGTAATTAATATCAAAATGAAGTCGCCAAGAAAGCTAAGAAAATTTAAAGAATTGTTATATGGCAGCAAGAATTAAACGAAGGAATAGAATATGCGCCAAAGTACGGTATATATATATTTTTTATCTAATTCCATAAAAAATTCAACATCGCAAGATAGTCTTATATCGGAATAATACGCTATCTCGAATTCTGGTTAAATAAATACTTTACATGAAAATAATTTGTTAAAAATTAGCGGACGTAAGTTTGAATTAATTTGATATAATAATAAATCGCTATCTTCAGTTAAACGTAAAGATTTTTGCTTCTTGTGCAATCTTTGTTATTAGTAAACTGCCAACTTGTTCCTAAGATTCTGTGCCTTACTAGAACATACTCCGATGCATTGCATTTAAAGAAAATTTATGGATTTGTTAACAAAGAAAACATCTTAAGATAACAAATCGAACACGGCTGTTCTTTCTTCTTTGAAAAAAGTACATATAAAAATTAGAGAGATTTGACTGAGTGAAACTGTAAGGTTTTCTTTTAAATAATAGAATTATCTTATTTCTTTGGCTTTATATTACTTCTTCCGTCAGACAGAAAGAAATACAGGGGGCACCAAAATTTCGCTATGGGCAAAACTGGTATCGCCCCACTGCTCTAACCATCTATGGAAGTGCACCCTAACGAGGCACGCTAACGCCATTGCTTGGGCATTTGTTTACATTGCAGCAGCTTTCTTAATACACAGTTATATATTAATGGTGCATAATTTGCATTGCAGACAATATTGTCTAAGATATACTTTACACGGGCACTTTGCAGTTGGGTGAATAAATATAATAATTACAATGGATAATTACAATAAGTTATTAACAGACGTATATACATATTTCTTTTGTGTTTCGGTGTGGAGCTTTGTTGGCGGGGGGGGGCGAGTGATTATGGTACGTGGTACTTTTTTTTATTACACTGTTCACAGTTAATACGTTCATTTATAGTATAGTTCATATTCCAGCATACAGTTTATGAATTCATTTCATGGTACATAGTATTGAGTACGTAGTATTGGTGTATGTCACACTTTGCATAATATGAAGTAGTTCATAGTTCGCAGTTTGAGTAGTAGGAGAAAAGTCACGATTGTATCAATAAATGGATATATTTTAGTGTATTTTCTAAAGGCACTCCTGTACAGTATGAGGATGAGAGTGGATATTCTTATTGTTGAATTTTCTGAACTTAGAGGATTATTTTGGGTTGTAAGCTATGGATAACACAGGTACAGTCCTTGGCGGTGTAGGAAATCAATAATATTATTGATGTTTTGGAAAACTTAAAGGTTCTTATGATTAATCTTCTAAATTCTAATCCAGTATCCGTGGGATGGCGAATGTGATGGGTTAACGTTAGCGGACACTGAAACATGTAATGTTTAGGGTCTTCCCGCATATGCATCTATCCGACGTAGATATATTGCGATCATAAAAATACTTGGGAAAGGAACCGTGACCCGAGGTGTACTGGGTGAGGAAGTAGGTTGATATTGTGGTATTTTCATCAGCCTTGGGTAGCAGTTCGAATGCACGTCGTCATTGTGGTCCTTGTTCCTAATGACGTTGCCACTTTTCATTCGCCATTTGTTTTAGTTTGTACTTTAGTGCTGATTTAGGCCATGGCATATGAATTGTAGATCCTGTTTGTTCTAGAGCTGCCTGTTTTGCTAGAAAATAGGCCCTTTCATTGCCCTCACAGGCGTTGTGCCCTCTGGTCCATGACAGGACAAATTTTTTATTACTTGTGCTTATTATTTCTTGAAATTGCAGGGCTATTGGAGAATTTGTGCGCTGTTTTTTGATGGCATGTGCGGAAGACTGACTGTCGGTGATTACGTGGATGGTATCTGTTTTTAAGTCACTAAGTTGCACAATGCTGTTTAGTACGGCTATGAGTTCTGCTTGATATACGCTGTTTTGCGGCCGAAGGTAACCTTGCCATTTGGAGTGGAGGTTTGTTTTTGTTTTTATGGTGACACCACTTCCTACCTTATTTTCGACCTTTGAGCCATCCGTGTATGCAGTAAAATAAGTTGATGGAGGTGGCTTGTCGAGATTGCAATGGAGATTGTGAAGACCCAGAACGGGATGCCTGTTATATTTCGGTGGCTTTTCTTCATAGTCTTGTGGATTGAAAATTACGCCGTTGTACGCGGAAGTTTTTTCGAGTTGTAGGGTCATTGTGGACAGTGCGTCGATTTCTGTTTGAATTGGTCGTGGGGTCACCCCGGCTATTGTTTGCAGTGCTTTGGTGGAGGTTGTAAGAATAATCGGGTAATATTGATCAAGAAAAGGTCTTTGAATTGAGTTAAGAGTCCGAATTTTTCTCGCTGTCATGGGACAGGCTCAGATAGTAGCTCCGTGGGTGATTATTTTATTCACTACTGTCTTTAATAAAATTTTCATAATGTGATGATTAAGACCCCAGGAATATCCTTTCATCACTCTTAATGCTTTTGCGATTTTGGCGATGGTTAGCTTCTTTTCCTGGAGATGAAGTACCCAATTGAATTTCTGGTGTATGGTTTAGTCCTAAGTATTTAATGGTCTTCACACATTTTATTTTATTGTTTCCAATTCTCAACGTAAGATTCCTGGTTATTGTTTGTCCTGACTTGTGTATTATAAGTGCGTGCGGATTTATGTGTGATATTTGGAGTTTTATTCTATGACAAAGACTGTTGAATATATTAAGGGTGTTGTTGCAGTTTTCCTCTAGTTGCCTTTATGTAGATCCTTGGATTATGAAGGCAATATCGTCGGCGAAGGCTACAATCCGTGTGTGATTTGGCCACTGATGATCGATAATATTATTAAAGGTTATGTTCCAGAGGTCTGCGCTCATTCATGACCCTTGAGAACATTCTCTAGTTTGTTCTTGACATCCTCTAGTTCTTCTTCCGTCAGCTTCCACTAGAATGAAAAGTAGTTTAATGTATAAATAATCGTCTAGTTGCAGAGATTTTCAGAAAGCAATTGCAACATAAGCTAGCCTTCACCCTGCTTTAGATTTTCCGCTGTTTCAATTCAGCTTACTGGCACGCACAAGTTGCTGAGAGCCTGGATGTTTACGCGAGGCTAGGCTTATTAATTTTGTGCCCTGCATTTGATCAGTTTGAACTCATGTGTAAACCTGCAAGCAATTGTAATTTTATTTGCGTTAAACTTTATGTTAGTGTAAATCCTCAGCATGGCATGTTAATAAGCAGTTTTTGTATTTTAACTTTGTTCTAAAAAAATTGCTTCTTAGCTTTGTTTGCAATTATTCCAGAAAAAACATCAAACGGAATTAAAAGTCGTTCGGAATTTTTAGCGTTACTCAGAGATGAATTAGTAAGCTCAATCGTATAAAATAATCTTAAATATAGTAAGGGAATGTTCTGTAAGTCTGATATACTAGAAATCTTGATAAACTCAATTTACATACCAATGCATTTTACTTTCTACTCTTTCTCTAAGCTTTAATATACACAAGTTAATTGACCATTAACTCAAACGGACAAAGGTGTGACCTTGCTCCATTGATAATACAATGAACCTTGGTAAGTTTAAAAGTCATAATTAAGTGACATTAAACACCTTTTATTCCGAGAAAGAAGAAAATATTTGAAACAAATCATGAAACTTGCACTTGCAAAAATAAACGGGTGATGTGATTTAGAATTGAAATCGAGAAATAACACTGACAGATTACGATGAATATATAAAATAAAAAGGAAAGGTAGTTTGCCAGATAAAGGAGTTCAGGAATAAATTTCAAGAAACTGATAAAATTGAAAGAAAAATAATTCTAAGATTCACTAATTTTTTCTTTCTAGTATTAAATTTTAAGTTGTTTATTGCATAATTTCCAATTTCTTTGATCTTGAAAAATCTAAACTCCCCCCCCAATAGTGAGCTATGCTTCGTTTAATGTCGATGATGATGCTTTTCTGCCAATTGCCATGCTGATGTAACTTCAATTAATATTGTGCGATTTGAGTTGTTTGTTACCAGTGCGTCTACAGTCTCGTGCGAACAACAGTGGCTCATTTGAAGTCACTAATGTTCTCTGTACGTACTGCTCTAGCACGTAACAAACGGCGGCAGATAATCAATTATATTATGCAATATATCCCTAGGATTATTAAGAGTGCATCTGTATATCCCTTATATTTGCGACTGATATGCCTTACACAGTGCATTGCCAAAAGCATTGGGATATTTAAAATGATTGAACTTTGTTTTTAACAGTATTTGGTAATGTTTAATAAGAATAAAATTCAATTCTGTCACCATAATATTCATCATCATCAACTTTGTCAGCATAATCTTTATGTCTAAAAAAAAAACATGTAAAATACAAAATATATTGAAGATGTCCAAACAGTTCAGTTTTAGGGTTAGTTCATTGCATTGTTAGAAAAAACAAACATTATGTCTCTCTACCAGAACAAAATTTTTATTGTGATACAGAAGTGTGGCTATGGTGCTTAATTTCAATAGTTAGACGCTGCGCTAGAAGTATATGTACATATATAAATGAAAAAGGTTAAAACTATATTCAACGAACCTTTCTTTCTCCTCCTTTAGGTTTGTGAGTTACATTATCTAACGATCCAATTTTTGATTTTGCTTGCTTTATTTTTGGCGGTGGTGCGTTACCAACAGGGGCTTTAATTGGAGGAATTTCTGAAATAAAATGCATAATGATGATCAACAAATGCAATATATTCATACACTCATTAGTAAGGTAAACGAAATTCTACTTTCTATTTGCGATTTATAGCTCTTAGAATCAAAAAAAAAAATTATTCTCCTCTGTTTAATCTGGTATGTAGTATAATATTAAATTAATGAATATCAACGTGCAAAATGGTACCTTTTGTTTACTTTGTAGCGTTGTTTGGTTTACTTTTCTAGAAAAGGCAAACGAAACAACGCTATATCTGTTTTTTACTGCCCATTTCTTAAATATGTTTATACTCCCTAGCCAAATTATCAATGTCGTAAAAAATCACTGTAAGTATGATGAAAAAAATTATTTAAGTTGATGCCATTTTTACAAATAATACATCTGTAAATAATTATCACATTTTGATGATAACAGAATTAATATACGATACCTTACACAGTATGTTAATCAAAATCAAATTTAAATAATAGTAATGCTTTTAACGAGCAACAATTTACAAAACATCGGCTTATGTCAAAGAACAAATGAGGCCATTTTAATTTGCCAACAAGATTATCCAGAACATCAGCTACAGAAGCACTCTCTATTCGATTATAATATATTTCCTTATAACATCTTTCTCATAAAAAATTCCCGCTAAAGGACAAGTATGCATGCCGGAGCCTTCATTTTTGTGAAGTTGCGCATGTACTTTATAGCCGCCCAAAGAAATAAATTTTGCATTTCGTCACCATACCAAAAACATAATAAATATCCAAATAAAATGCTGGGCAACTGTTTTTCCGTGCAACTATATTTCTACAATGCTGTCGATCAACAGTACCTGTACAGTGCTTTCGTGATGTGTGCTCTACATTGCTGTCGTATGAAGTCAAATCAGTGCAAAAATATTTGCTATAGATACTCAATCAATATGTGTTGTTTATTAGTAAGTTAGGATTTAAGAAATACTGTGCTAAAAATACCATTGCGAAGTATTAATTTAGCCCACTCAAAAATTAACTGATAACGTTTTACACTGTTAAGAATTTAATTCAGTTTTATTTGAATTAATCGCAGGTACTTTCCATATTCTTCAGTATAAATCAATCACATGGTCTTCTCGGACGATGAGATGAAAACATTTCAGACTTCAGTTTTTACTGGAATCAAATTAAAGGAAAAAAATTTATGAGATTAAATTTTCAGCCGAACATATTAGATACTACCCGGAATAAATGCACGAAAAAGTAGCGATCTTGAACAAAAAACATTTAAGTTTGAGCAGTATAGATATCTGCAGAACCGGAATCTTGAAAATTAAAAATAAGTAGGCAATACATGTACCAAAACGTCCATATTGAGGTAAAACTACATACACATCCGCTTACTGCACTCTGATGGATGGGAACCACATAAGTTCTGGGACTAAAGCCTCAAAACACTAGTAGTTTCGATCGAGGTGGCGTTTCATTATTAGTAAAATGGGATAGTTTCTACAGAGTTTCATGTGTCTTGATTTAACCATTCCAAATTTCTTCTTGTGAGGTTGCAGGAAGTGTCCTGTTCATTAATGCGCTCTGCAATATCCAAACACTGAGATAATATGCAATTCTGAATTAGATCTTGATCCCATGGATGCTTGCATTGAGATCTACGTGTGAAATCATTTTCCATAACTAAACCAAAAAATTCCATATTAGAATTTTAGTTACAGAGACATTCTTTAAAAAATAAGCAATTATAGGAAGAGTCATTCAATTTTGCAATGCTACAGAGACTTTTTGGTCACTCTGTGTATGTTAACAGCATGCATCTAGAGCAAATAACGACACTCTTGGCTTTATAGTTCTCTTCGGATAGCATCTATGTGAAAATGAAAGATTTCTATCTAGAATGAGGTAGTGTATACAAAATATCACTTTGTGTTCATGTGGCACGTTTTCATGCATGAAAGGAAACATAATAATGAATCAATCACAGCATTTCATCCACTATTCTTCGTTAATGCTGTAACAAATGATTTTTCAGCTTAAAATATAGCTTAATAAAAATTGACTAAAACGATAGATACTGACTTTTCTCTGTCGTTGAAGGAGTCCGCGTGGTTGTCGAAGAACTCGATCTAGGTGCTAATTTTTCAGACTGGTTTCCTTTCCCTCCTTTGGAATCCTTTAAATAAGAAAAAGAAATAAGTTCGTTTACTAAGGAATCAATATTTCATCTATGGAGAATATTTTCTGCTTTCTGTGATTTACTTTCACAGCAATAAGTTACTCCATATTTAATATATATTCTATATAGCAGCACAAAATCTAGCTTAGCACAGTCGATTATTATAGCACGTTGACGGTATTAAATAAGTCTGCCACACAAAAATGAATAAAAATATATAGGTGGAATAATATTTTGTTATATTTAGTTGCCTGCTTTTGCTCTTTGTTTAATAATATATACACATTCATTCAAGTAATTTTTGGATTACTATTTTAAATCTGACAACTAGTTGCTCTTTCTGCTTAATCAAAAGTGATGAGAGGTTCATGATGAATTTTAATTATCATGATATTAATTTAAACTAATCAAATAAACTGACGGTAATACATTCCATGCATAATATATTTCTCTGTACTTACGAAGTCAACAATCGCTAATGGAATCATCTCCATATATCTTCAGTTTCAAATTTTGATTTACGTTATTAACTTTTTAATTACAAAATTTGATTAGCGTATATTTAAATTTGACGAATTTATATAACAGATGTTGTATCTAGCTGTATGAAACGCAATAAAAGTTTGCCAAGGTACATCATTTTGATTTTATTTTGGAGACTAGCTGAATAGTACAGCTATATTTCTTAATCAAGCTCATGCCATTAAAAGATTAAACCGATCTTCTGGGAAATACGGGGATAGAAATTTACCCAAAAAATGAAGTTACTTTTATCTTGTAAGCAAAGAAAAATGGTTTAGCGACACATCTTACATGAAATTCATTTTACCAATCATTGAACCTCAATCGGTAAGTTACACCCTCTTGGGGAAAAGGACTATGCGTATCTCCAGGTAATGCTAACTTGAAAATCATGTCACATGTGGGAAACACATCCGCAAAACAAGAGAAAGCCGAAAGAATGCATAATTTTCAAGATAATCAGATTCCCATTCTTAAACATTTAATAATGCTTACAGTATTTCGAAGTGAATTAAACAAAAACTTGGCCATTAACTAGTTTGTGGACCAATGAACCCATATTATTCCATTATGATAGTTATTTATAAATGCCTATTAGATGCTGCACTAATATATTTGAGCAGTATGACAATGCGCGATAAGAAATAAATATACATTTAGTGAGGAAATATTTCGTCTGGATTTCAAAATTTTATTCAAACGTTTGATTTTCGAATGCATCCTCTTCAGGAAGCGCTACGCGTCGATAATGTTAAACGATGTGGTTACACATTGAAGAGCGTTAAAACGCACTTGACAAGCACATGTAACACGAATGTTAGTTTTAAAAATGCATATTGAAAATGACATCAAGTTGACAAAAAGCACGTATTTGCATGGTCGTTTTAATGTATAATTTAAAATGAGGAAAAATAGCAACGTTATTATGGCCACAATCGCTAAAATCAGGAACGAGATTTCATATTATGCAAAGCATTTCTTTTCTTTTCTTTCATTTTTTTATTTTATTGCTTTTGTAAGCAAGCTACAAAGATGCAAAGCAACATATCAGAATAAACGTCCGAAACATTTTATTTAAAATATTCGGAATTAAGCTCATATTAACAATTAGAATTTTATTTACATACTTGCCCATTTGGACTTCCAGTATAGCATCAATTGTCATTTTTTACATCACTATTTAATATCATTTGTAATTTTTGCACGAGATTCTTATATTTTGTTTAGTTTATACTGTATATGATTATTTAGATTGAATGTGTGCCAAAATCTAGTATGTGAATATATTCCCATCATGGAATTTTCATGCAGTATAACTGTAAATACTATTACATATAATTATTCGGAATAATTACGCACTTATAATGTTTATAAAGATTGGTATAAGAATTATTACTTGTGTTTGTTAGGACTGTTTTCTATTCTCTTTCAATTTTTTATCGCAATGTGGCATGATATGCGATTCATTCTATGCAATGTAATAGTGACTAATATGTGATTTATATTATGCAATGCAATTTTTTTGTGATTGACTTTAAGTGCATATTACGCAGTCATCATGTAACTGAAATATGTTCAAATAATGTACGTAATTAGGCGCAATTATTAACAGCAAATCAAATATTTCGGAATATTTTAGGTAAACAAATGTACCAAATTATGTCATTTATACCAAATGTAGAAAATACTGTATAAAATACGTGATCAATTTGAATTCCAGCTGAATCCTGCTTTTCAAAATGTGAAACAAAGGGGCCGGTTTTTGTCGATCTTCACTAGACAAAGTGAATGACATTCAAGATCCCCTATCAGGGCGAGTGCATGTGTCTCAGTGTCAGTGTCCTCTGTGCTAGATTGTTAGCATATGGGGAAAGGTTACCCGGTAACCAATGGTGACTAACGGGTATACCCCATACTTCGTAACCTGCAATCCTATTTTGCGTAGACTTTAAGCACACTTTATAGATTTCAAGAGCTCTCAGACACAGATCCCTTCTTCAGGAGCAAAAATAATACATATAACCGTTTTTTATAACGTCGTAATATCATATAAATAACATTTCAGGCATTATGAAATTAATAATAAGCATTTTAAACCTCAGACTAGTTTTAATCAGACAGACGTTTGTTAACTAAGAAGAAAAAGTAGTACCTTCATTTATCTAATTTTTTGAAGAGAAGTAATGAAAAAAAAATGCTTAGTGAAAATAATACTAATAAAGATACGATTTCAAGTCTTGCTCATACATACGTTATCTGTTTCAAGTTTAAAAATAGACATTTCTATCCAAATATTAAGTACTCAAATAAATTTTTAAAACAGTTCAATCTTCTCCTTTCTTAAAGCTCCTTTCTTAATGCTGCACCGTATACATACCTTTCGCGTTTTTGAGTTATAATAGCTCTCAATGTTATTGGAAGGGAATGATTTTTTAATTTTTTTTCCGAGCTCAGTTTAAAAGGCAGAAAATTTTAGAGATTTTAAAAATTGTGTTCTTGTAGCTTACTATATGAAACTTCCTGGACTTGACTTTTCATATCCTGGATACCGTGCATGAAGAAGAGGGGAATTATAAAAGGCTAAAAATTATGTAGATAAGAATTCATCTGAAAGATGCTATTAGTAAAGGGAATGTATCATTCTATAAATAAAATGGATTCCAATATTTCCAATCTTTATATATGTATAGAAAGATATATATATATATATATACATCTATCTATCTATTATATATATATATATGACTTACAGCGCTATTTTAGGACAGAGCGATGAAGTTCCCAAATGAAATAGAAATAAAAAGAGGTATAGTCAATTAAATTTAGAAGTTTTGCTTTTTATTTTTTATCTTACACCATTTATATATATATATATATATGTGTGTGTGTGTGTGTGTGTGTGTGTAGTGATTTCTTTTAGCTTTATTTCCATTAACGCTTTGTTATTTTGAAGATATGTGTTTTATACTTTTCTTTGCTTTTTGTTTATACTTTTCAACACTATTATGATTTAGCTAGGGGTCATTATGATTGATGCATAACTGATCCAGAAACATAATACGCAATTTACTTATATAAATATATCATAAATTGCTGATGTTGGGCAAATTATGATTATTTTACGCAAATTTCATTCAGAGTACGCTTAGCTATATTTATATATTCATCATAACTTCATCGCTCTGTCCTAAAAATAGCGCTGTAGTAAATATATATATATATATATATATATATATATATATACATCTATCTATCTATCTCTTTCTATATATGTATAAAGATTGGTACATAAATAAGCATATCATTGGCACAATTTCAAAATCAAGATTTTTTCCTGGTTTCATTGCACTTTCTGGGTGTTTTCCTGAGCTTTTACATTATACCAAAATAAAAAGTAACGTACACTCAAACAAGGTTACGGTTCTTCCAGTGGCAGCTTCCATGAAACTTTTCGGAATGAACAAGCATATGAATAAAGCAATTTGTATAAAGCATGGCTAATCGCGTTCACCCGCAACACAGCACAGTTTATATAAAGTGGCTCTCAAGCCCACAGTATTTTCAGCCATAGAGTGACAATCATAATGTTATGTGAGCGATCTGAGACAGGAGTTCTCAACCGGTGGTACGGAATAGAAAAATAGGTGATACGAAAAGAAGCAAAGTATTTTATCTATTAAATTCAAAAATTAAAACTCCAATATCCTGATTGAGTTTTTTCCCTAACACTCGTAAATTTATGCGATCTGAGTTTTGTTCAAGAGTGGTGGTGGTAGTGGTACTTTGCAGTGGTGTTACTAAAGGTTTTCAGTTTTTGTTTAGATGGTACGCGTTAGTCAAAAGGATGAGAATTGCTGATCTGAGGTAACCTATTGTTCACAGAAGTCATGTACTCCCACCAGCGACTACTGTGTGTATGTGTGTGGCTGGATGTATGGGAGTTCTTATGGGTTTTTTTTCACCCATATTCGTGAATACCCATATAACGTGAATGCACTCCATTCTCCCTTAGAAAGGTCTCAAGGAATCATCACTCCTAGGCAGGTAGTACTCGTGTGCCTAAGTATTTTATTTATCTATTTGGATGTTTACTTTTCTGCAATTAATAAAACTATAGTTAGCGTTTGCCATAATTACAATTTTCAAATTAATTAATTCAAAAACCTGACATCAGTATAATGCCTTTCATTTAATCTGGTATTTCCACTTTTTGGTACTTTTCTTTTCCTCTTGCTTTCAATTCATGCATGCTTTATTCAGTGTTTAAAGAAATGTTTTTGTTTGAGTAGAATTTTTGTTAATATTTCTTTAATGCTTCAAAATAGTTTTACTTAACTGAAAAAATTTCCTTAGAGGTACCAAATAATTCCCAAACTCTGCTAATACTAACAATGTTTTTATGTTGTCAAGCAAAGTGAACACTGAAAAATAAAGCATACAGCATTGTATCCACAGGAAAAGATAACAACATTACGATATTTTTCCAACAGCTGCACCCACCTTTCAATAATCTACATTTCGAAAGGCGTTTTTCTTTTATTAGAAAGCCTATACTTGTAATCTACAGACCGCTTTTCAAAGTATTTTAACCACTGTACATCTGCAGGTAAAAGTTTCAAATTTTAAAGAACAGCTTTCCATACGCATAAGCTTATAAGCTTAATACTAGCTTTCCTACGCGAGTGATATAGGAATGTTTAAAAAGGATGAAATAGTAAATACGGCTTGCATGACTGGTCGTAGACCCATGGTTACAATTAAAAAATGAAGCTAGTAAGGTAGGCCTTAAGACTACGAGCATTTTGTCACGTGACACAATTTGATAAAAGTATACCGAACTTAAAATTTGGGCATACTTCGAAGAAAGTTACTTCATTTTGAAAGAATATCTTCCACAGCCGAATTAGTCAAAAAAGGTAAAAAATCTCATGCAGTAAAATTGTTTAAAATATGAATTAAAATTTTCTAAAAATATACTAAAGCTTTTATTTTGATTTCATAAAATGACTTCTCAGCGAGAAAAGTATTTTCCCTATCCGAATGAATCAAAAATAACTATCCTTATGTGATCAAAGTTAAAAGTGATATCGTTAACTAAAATGTTTGGTTGCCGTGCAAAAGTATTTCTAAACACAACTACACATTATCAGTTCTCTAACCCATTAGCCGCTGGTGTCGCTGACGCAACGGTCAAAATAAATGCGTATATAAATATAATTACCTAAGATATTTTATACCAGCAGATGATTTTGTGTAGGGAATACTATGAAGATTATTTCTGTAAAAAAATTTGCCTTCAGCAATCATTTTGCTTATAATAATTAATCTCATACTTAAGGCAAAATTTAAGCAAAATTTTCGACCGAGTATTTTTGGTGAAAATACTTAATGAAAGAATCGCCGTCTATATGAGTGATCTATTTTTAGTCAAGGTCACCGTTTATCAGAACATTACATCAATCAGATGTTTATATTTGTGTTGAGAAGGAAGGGAAAACAGGTGTGGCGCTGACCCAACGTCAGCAGGAAATGGGCAATCAATTTCTTTTCTCACTCATTCCTTTCGATGTTCTGGTTCATGTTCTGGCTGCTTTAAAAATGCCTAGAACGAGGTATCTTACATTAGAAGAAGCCCTTCAAAGATTTTTTGATGAAGAAACAGGTGATGATAATGTTAATAATGACCAGAATGGAACTGATATTGTTGTTGTTCCCCCAGAAATTGCAGAAGCTTGTGATGAAGAAGAGGGGAATGGCAATAATGATAATGATATTTTACCAAATGATACTGCTGGGGAAGTTGAAATTCACGTAAGAAGTAAGTTTCAGCCTTCTAAAAGCAGTTGTAGTAATAATAAAAAGTTTAAAAAGCAGAAGACTGACAACTTGAAGTGGATAAAAAAAGAGCTGTCAGTTATGTCTCAGGAAGAACATAAAGAAAGAAATAGAAGAGAAACTATAAAAGACGAAATAGAAGATAAATCTAGTGCACAGATTTTCGATTTTCGTTTTGGTTTAGATATTTACTCTTCTCGTTGAACAGAAAAATATATACGCGCAGCAAAAAAATTGCCCAGAATTTATTGCATCTGAAGCCTATATGAGAAGATTTATTGGAATATTATTGCTTACGGGATATCATTCTTTACCTAAAGAAAAATATATTGGTCTTTTGATAAGGACATTTCTGTTCCTGTTGTACGAGAATCGATATCACGTTTGCAGTACAGGAATATTAAGTAGAATTTGCACTTGACAATAGTCAAATTGACAATACTGATAAAGTATATGAGGTGAGACCGTATCTAAACTTACTAAATATCACCACTTTTTACTACTGGTCTAGTCTCTTTTAGATTTCAAACGCGAGATTGCATTATTACTTTTGCAAATTCCTATTGAATTAGCCAGAAATAGATCAGCAGCAGGAAGACCTAGTAAATTCAGCATTCAAAAACCATTGCATGGAGATGGTAGACATTTTATCGTAAAGACCGTTGATAACAAAAGAGTTCATTGTAAAGAGTGCCATAGCCAGACTGTTTATAGATACAAAGTATGTAATGTAGCTTTACATCATGATTGTAATGAAGCTTTTCATGCTTGAGTCTTTCAATTGAAATAATCTATATTTGCAAAAGAAATATAATGTATATTTTAATATTAAATTAATTACAAGTAAAGTGATTTGTAGATTTATAAAACATTATACAGTTAAAAAGTGATCCTGCGCTCCACTCAGAGGAAACATTACACGAGTACAATCTTACTCACTAAACATCCGTAGTCTTATTCTGCTGACGTTGCGCGAACGCGACACTCGCTTTTTACACACGTAAGAGCATTTTTTTTTAATTTTCAATGTAAATTTATGTTATAAATGCTTAATTTAATATTTGTTATTTTTTTCATGAGAAAAGAATCATTCCTTGTAGTTTTGGCTGTTAAGGGCTAATGCGAACTTCTAAAGATAACTTTTACATGATAAAAATACTAATCTAGCGGCATTGGTTTCAAATTAGCATTAGTTGAAATATTAAAATTCGAAATTTTTTATTTAATGTAATTCAGTGCTTATATGACCCTTAAAACAGCACATTTCATTGCTTCAAAATTCTAGGAAGAAAACTCACCTGCGTCTTTTGAGGAGCAGAAGAAACTCCATCTGTGTAGGAATAAATAAGAAATGAATTACTCATTGGAAAAAACAATAAACTTAAATTGAAATAAACTCTGAGCTAAAGTAAATCAGATGTCTTTACATATATTTTTAAAACATTTTCTCATTAATTTCTCATTTCATGTCTATGATTATGTTTCTTTTCAAAATAGATATTTACACATCGTCAATAGTGAATAACAAAATATTTTAAATTTAGCAGTTTAAAGAAAGGAGCGGTGTTTTAATTTGCAAAACCGTCAACAATTATAAAAATTTTAACATATCATTAATACAAATTGCTTATAATATTTAATAGATGTTCAACTGTTTCTTGGAAGCGGTCGTGAAAGTTGAAGTTTTAACTTCGAGCATTAGAATTTTAAAATGTTCTTCCGATTTCAAATTTTCATACTGAATCAATTTACTTTAACATTCTTAGCAAAAGCTTAAATATTTGTTGGATGTTCCTCTTCTAATTTTCTATTTAGCATTTTCTGAAACTAAAGCTTCAAACCTCATGCTGAAGTAAGAGCTATTTAATGCAGCTTGTTTTTAAAGCAGGTGTCTATACATTGATCTAATTTACGCAAAGATTAATAATCTGGATGATATTTATTTTTTTTTTTTTTTTCATGAAAGCTAGCTTCCGCACTTTCATCTTTTAATTGTTGTTTGTATAATTTGCATAATGTTAATTCATTCATCATAAATAAGAAGATTTAATTATTTCTGCCACTTAGAGAATTTATTAAGACCCTTAGCTTGCCATTACGGTTGTCTACAAATTAAATTTATTTTCACTGAGATCTTTTATTACTCTTCGTGATATGAACAAAATGCTACGATAATTAGATGAAAACTTCCTTCCATACCAAGAATTTTAAATCTTAATTTTTGAAATATTTTTGGATATTCAAGATGCATGTTAAAACAATTACATAATTATTTCAAAATTTTTTTGCAATAGGCAGCAAAATAACTCATAAAAACGCAAATATGTTTTAAGTACTAAAATTGGCTGACTTCTTTTCCTGACCATTAAAATCGCCACTTCAAAAGGGACGCACTCTATCAACCCAAAATGTGTGTGATGCGTACATACATCACGAAAATATATGTACTTGATTAGCTGTAGAATGCATATGATGACCGCCAGTAACCGTGGAAACAGTGTAAGATAGAAGAACAAAGAGTTGCTTGTGGAGTTTTGAGATTCCGAATTCTTTTCTGAGAACTTGGCGATTGCGCTAGACAAAGTGCGGCTGCAGTGATGTGGATATTATATATAGGTTCGAGGAAGGGCGAAGTAACTGACATGAAAGATCTTGATAGCCTTTTCAATTCAGTGAGGCAGAAGATAGAATACAGTTCGCAAAGCCACGTAACAACTTTAGTTCAAGAAATTAGTTTTGTGATGCCCAATAATGAATTGCCGGACGTACGTATGGACGCTGTACATGCGGTGTGCATCCTTTCAAATAAGAAGAATTATGAAATATTACCTTAAAGTGTACATAATAGGTGCCTTCTGCTGCAATAATGCCTAGAAGGTCGCGGATGTCATGAGATCAAAGGATAGCGTCCATATTTGGCAGTACCCAGATAAAGGATTGAATTAGTTCTGCATTATGCATCAGGATACTGCTTCCGCTACTTCTATTATGGTATGGAGTACTATTTGATAAGTACCTATTCCTGGTATAATGAATAGCTACCTTAACTTATTTGGGGTGTTGGAGCTTGTTGTTATCTTTTTCCATCAGAATTTGCCTGGCAACATGCCACCGCGCATGGCAAACAATATCCAAGAATTCTTAGATAGCCCACCATGCTCACTCCATCGATCTGGGGTTCATTTGCTATGTCACCTGTTGAACACGTCTGTCCATCATTACACGGTTTTACTTTCTCTTCGCTTGGAGTAGAGGAAGTTACTTCAGTACATCATTGACCAGTCTCTCGCAAGCAGAGAAATGGTAACACATTGAAATCACATGCAATAGCCAGTCATAAACATATCTGTAACATCTCTTTCGCTATGTGCTATCAACTTTTATCAGCAGTTATTGCCGCCCTTATACTACACGAGATTAATTTCTTTGTATTCGCAAGTTGAACCAAGCTATCAGTGTAATCACCAAACAATTTTGCTATAAATGATCAGTATAGCACATGTAACTGCGCTCTTTCACAATAATACATTTTTAATGGCCAGCAGTGTTTCAGGGATTTTCAGATAGAAATTAACAGTTTTTAGGAAGGGATTATATATTTTTAAAATCTGTGCCTCATACTCTATGATAAAGCATCTCATCTTCCCAGAGAGTTGTGTCAGTTTAATTCAAGAAGTGTTTATGTTTTAATAAGATTAATATCTAGTATAAAAATACAATTCTAAATTTATTGTTTAAAATTATGAAATGGTGTAAATCTAAGAAAGCAGACTTATCAAGCATAACAAAAGAGTTGTTACTTACAATGCAGTACTCAAATAGATAAGTAAAACTTACCTTGAAGATTTGGGTCTAATTTAACGTACAATAATATAAGATTTTATGCTAAATCTACAGCTTTCATGCATTAAAAGTAATGCAGAAAAATACTGAAATAAAATTCAGCGTAATATCTACAGAAAAAAACACTAATAATTTCGTGCATATTAAATTCAAATTATTTTATTCTCAGAAACATTCATAATCTTAAAGGTATGTTATTAATCAGAAATTGTTTCATAAACGACCTGCAGCAAATATTGTTTTAAAGAATGAAAATATTTTGTAAAAGGGAGAAAAGCAGAATAAGATGATATGCTTAAAAATGCATTCATCAACAATATTTTAAAAATACATTCTAACAGCATCATGCTATGAATTTCAAGCTTATAATTTCAACAGTTCTCAGGATATTAAAATATATACACTAAAATATTTACTTAACAGTATGAAATTATTTTAAGCAAAGGATCTTTTGGTATTTCTAGAATATACTGCAATAAAAAGGATGTTAAAAGTTTAAACACAAGACATAGTGATAATGTCATTCTTCAGAACTTAAATATGTTGTTTAAAAATAATTGAGCTTGATAAGTAACAAAGCTAAACTAATATTCTAAGCTAAACATTCAAAATGAATAATCTACTTGCATAAATGAAAGACTACTCTACAAAAGCAGAGGCCAATGAAGAAATGATGAGAAGTAATACAGTCAGAAGATGCAGCGATTTAGCGCACCTTTATGAGGTGCACTACGTGATCTTGGAAGCTTACGCCTCTTCATGCGCTTTCTCGGACTCGAGATATTTTTTGCAATCTTCTCAACTCCAGTAATTCGAGAAGGTGACTCTAGATTCGGGTATACACTGTTGTCCTGTCCTTTATGCTCATCAGTTTCTGAGGATTTAAGTTCAAAATCATCTGTGCGCGGCATGCATTCATTTTTAGTTCCAGATTCAAAAACGTTTTTTCCCACCATTTCGATTTCTACTTCGTGCTCAATTATACCATTGCTATCACTTATCTCCTCATAGAACTGTACGCTGCTTATTGCTGTTTCGATTTCATCCTCCTCAACTTTTATACCTTTGCGAGGAGATACTACTTTGGATGTGTCATAAACATTTTGAGCAGCCTTTTCATCCGGGATACTTTTAGCGGATGTATTTTCCTTTTGCGTACAATTCTCTAATGAACATAAACTTGGATTTCTGGCAGATAATTCAGAATCTAGAATGACTGATTTTATAACTTTAGCTTGCATTTTGGGAATTTGTCTATTCACTGTACCTTCCACGTAACTGATACTGAATTCATTCGTAGTGGAATTTCTTTCTTCTGAATGTGTCACTTCATTAATTGAGTATTCTTGAATTGAAAGTTTAACATTTTGGGATGAAAAGTTATTATCTAGTTCTGGACTGGCATCTGGCTTTATCTTAAGCATTGCAGCCTCTTTCTGTGCAATAATTTTATTTTCGTTTACATGAGAAGAATCAGATAGAGCTACTTTTAAATCAGATGTGTTTAATTTTTCAACTTTATGAAGCTGCTGATTATGGATTTCTTCTCCATCATTTCTTGAAAAGCTTCTAATAGTTGATTGTTGAGCAATTACGTTTAACACATTTCCTTTGGCTTCAGTGTCAGTTTCAGGGACATTGTTTTGAATTATTGCATATAAGTCATTCGGTGCTGCACTTTCATCTATCCGCATATTTTCTTCATCTGCAATTAGATTAATTTTCTCTCCGTTTGGGGTAGATAAGGTTACTTCATCAGTCTCATGAGAAACTGTGAGATCATGTTTTAAGTCTGGAGATGTGCTTCCCATACTAGTGCATAAATTATCGAATGTTTCGAACTTCTCATAGTTCTTACTATCTTCACTGATTTGAAAAGGGGTATTTTTGGTCTCATAATCTTTCATTTTGTCGTAAGACTGTTTGATTTCGTTCGTATAAGTATTCTCTACGTTAAGATCGTTAAAATGACTAGAAATTCTTCCTACTTCTTCCTTTGATTTTAGGGTATTTTCCTTCTGCAGATTAACATCACTGATATCAAGCATTCCTTCATTATTTAGTCGAATATCTTCCACATTTTCACTGAACTCTGCACGCACTTCACATTTTAATTTCGGACTAATATCACTAATTACTTCTTCCTTTTCATTTAAAATATCATTAGATTTTTTAAAACTTGAAATATCGGACTCAGGATAAGCTCTACTCTCATGAACATTGTCTTCATTTATGGAACAAAATATTTCAGACTCTAACTGCTTTTTTTCCCGCTTTTCTTCTGAAAATTCCCTTTCTGAAACTTCGGAATGTTTTCTAACGTCTCTCAAATCTTCACGTTTCACTAGAGTACCGAATTTAGAGTAAGGTTCTTCAATATTCTCACCAAATTCAGCAGAAGCAACATTTACAATCCCATCATTGTCATCTAGACTGGCCTCAAAATTGGTTTCCAGGTATTTTGTAACATTTTTATCCTCTTTACTAGAAAGAATACAATCCCTAATGTTGTTATCCTTTTTTAATTGCTCACATGAATTTTCTCCATCGCTTATTTGGGTTCCTTTTTCTTCAAATACTGCAGTCTCAGTCTCTTCTGATTTTCCCTTGTCGTCACTGGCGTATATGTTATTATTCTCAGACGCAATATTTTCTTGAGAATTAATAATTGAATTAAACTCACATTTATTATTAGCGCTACCTATCACAGCCACTTTAGCATTTCCCTCTGATGTTCGATATTCTTCTTTTTGTATTTCATAGCTTTCACTGGGGTTAACTACGTTACTATCAGAAACGGGAAGAGCTTCATTTTCATTTGTAACAATCTTATCCTCTTTGCCATTCCTAGTACTGTTAATACTTCTGCTTTTCTCTTCATTGTTAACGGACACAGCTCCACTCAAGGAAAAGCTTTCTGTTCTATTACATGAAATTCCATTTCCTTCAGTTTCTAAATTATTTTGTTTATCAACAACTTCTTGTTTATTTTCATTTGAACCTGAAACAGTACCTTGTTCAGAAGATTTTGTTGCATCTGCTGTCTTCCCAATTCCTTCAGAGCATTCTTCACCAGCTGAAGAGCTGTAATTTCCATCTGCATCAGTTCCTCCTTCATTGAGAAGACTGTCAGAGCCAATGGCCGTAGACTCCTCAATTTCTGAATATTGATTTACCTCCTGAGGGCTATCAAAATCTTCTTCGGCGGTTGAAGGCTCTTCTGGGTCATTTAAATCACTACCTACACCATCCTCTAAATCTACTTCCATTGACTCATCTTTATGTTCAACAGAATCTTCTCCGAATGAGGCAGCTATTCTGCTTTTTATGGGACTCATTTGGATTTCAATGCTTCTCATGTGGTTTGCAGTTCGAATTTTTCTTGGTGAAAAAATATCTTGTGTTTTTTTGCAAGCAAGAGAAACTTTATCTTTTTCTTCGGCATAATTTCCTCTTTTAACAATAACTGAATTGCTGCTATCCGTTACGTTGATAAAATGTTGAAAACTTTCTTCACCTGCTGCACTTTCAGGGGAATGTATGTCACATTCTACACAATTTTGAGTTTTAGTCCTTCGCTTCTTTTTCAGAAACTTCTGCTCAGGTATGCTTGACTCCAGGAGACTTTTGTTTTGTGTAAGTAAAGGCATTTCATTTTGATATGTGACATTACCACATTCATCTCGCAACACAGAACATTCAATGTTTGTGTCATGTGTGTTTTTCTGACAGGCATTGTTTTCCCAGTTGCTATGACTGCACGTGGATGACGGTAAATTTTGTGATAGCACATCTTTTCCTAAGATGTATTTGTGATAGTCTGGAAACATTTCACCTTGACAGGGATTTTCATGCGATCTATCTGGATCAGTGCTGGAACTCTTATCTTTGTTCCATTCGTGTAAAATTGTCTTGGGATGAGAAATTTCTGGAAAGTGCGCTTCTGGAAAATGCTTGGACGGAAGATCTTCATCCATGGAGATTGTCTGGATTTAGGATAGAATTTTGTTACACAACAATACGCACAAAAACTGATTTAGAAATCAATAACGAGATTATGCACTAGAATGCCTACATACGATTTTCTAAACAAATATAAAATGTAACTTTTATATTCTAGAGTTGAAAGAGATTAAAAAAATGAACATTTTCCTTCAAACTGAATAAAGCATCAAGTTTTTCTTCTTAAAAATATTAAAATTTTTACACTTTCGCTCACTTTTTAACTACAACAAGAGAAAAATTATGTATTACAATTATCTTAACACTTTAAACCATGTTACCAAAAGTTAGAGTTTGCTTCATCATGAAAATAAGATTGTGGCTTGCTCAGCATTGGTTTAATACAACTAAAGAATTATACACTTTTAAAAAGGCGATTTTATGTTTTCACATCGGCAAGCTCGCAGGTTCATTGATTTCCTGTTAAAGAGCCTATTTTATAAAATTATTCTACCCGCTTATTGGAAAAAATAAGAATAAAATCAAAAATAATATTTTCGTGGCTACTTTATTAAATAGGTAGCACCTTAAACAAAGCTTTCCGGTTTCTATTTTTCTTCGAAGAATTAAATTTTATGTAACTGAAACATGTCGAGCTTAACTGTTAAAAGTAACAGGAAATTAACCGAAATAAAATATGAAAACACATTTTACTGGAGCTATTACTTTACATGTTTCTAATAATACGCGTGTGTTATTGCTTTGACCGACACAGATGTACAAAAACGTCAACTGAAATTTAAAATTAGACAAAATATATTCTTTACCTTAGTTGGTTTCACAAAAACAATTTACGCATTTCCAGGAGATAGGGCTGAAAAGAGTTCCCTTTCCTTAAAAAAGGAATGTATTCTCCTTAAGTCATACATAAAAATGTTTTGAGTTAAAGCTTCATACCATACGAATATTTGAAAATTTTCAGTACTCGTTAATAGTATCGATTTGTTAAAATGTTTCGAATCTGAAAGATGTTTATACTGATGCAACTTTAAAACCCCTTCGCGCCGACTGTCACGTATACGTGCCAGCAACGAACACACTTATCTACCGGCCGACACGCAGGCGTGCCAGAGCATTGTTGCGTTTTCTACCGACTGTCACGTATTTGTGCCAGTACCTTGGAACGTTTTCAAACTATAATTTCTCCCACAAGATGGCACTGTATGTCCATATGGTTTCAGATACATGTACATTAGACCTTCTACTCGAAATGAGAGAAGCATGACTCACATACACGTGTTTTTGATTATATAAACAAACGGGGAACTAAATGTTTCCGAATGGCGTGATTTATGACGTCTCTTTAAATCGCACTTTATTCGCACGTGGTAGTTGTTTATTGTAAGTAGAAGTTTTATATGCGCTAAAGCGTTGAGTATTTCCGTTTACAGTTCAGTTTTTAGAAAATAATTAGATCTTGTTAGACGTGAATTCTTTCTGTTTTTTCCGTTTCAATGTCGAAGCGTCGAAAAGGTTTAACAGAGCATGAAATAGCAGAAATGATGCAAAATATTTCAGATATTGATTCTGAAATTCTGATATTCTGATATTGATTCTGAAAGATTAACTGAAAGACATTTTCCAAAACTTTGTTCAGAAGAGACTGATAAGAAAATGAGACGACGATGCTTCGTTTGTTCACATTCCCAGAAAAATCCTCCAAAACGGCAAATGAGTTATTACGAGTTCAAGGAATGTAACGTAGGGCTGTGTGTAGATCCCTGTTTTAAAATTTTTCATACGAAAAGAGAATTTTAAGTAATATATTTAGTTTTCAGATGTATAATGTTAAAAGTCATAAAATGGTGAGTAATTAAAAAAAATGTGTAAAATATGCATTTAAACAAGAAATAAGGTAATTAAAGTATATATATAAAAATATCTATAAAGCATAAGCTGTTTAAATACTCTATAGAGCATTATTAAACAATGCGTTGATACTTCGGAAATTTCATGGATTTAGGCTTAGTAGCAAAAAAGCCCCCGGCCTTGGAGAGACGCTCGCGGAAGACACTGCCGGCCTCCGCGATAAGCGCGCGTTTTCGCTACCCGGCTCGAAGGGGCTAATATAATATGAATTTAAACGAAAGATTTACCCTAAAAATAGTGTTCTTAATCACGTTTTCTGAAAATATATGATAGTACTCCGGCTGTGTTTTACTGACATGGATTTTTGCACATAAAAAATTTCCTTGTGTTGTCAACATTCACTAAACCGTTGCTTTATAAAAAGGCAAAAGGCCGAAAGCTAGGCTTGTTAAAGACTCTCATAATGACCGCAGACTTCTTTACTAATGGGGATTTGAATGCAATAAATATGAAAATGCTTTTCTTTGTCAAAGGCAGTACAGCTGTTTTAATAATGCTCCTTCTCGAGAATTTCTCAAAAAAGAGCATACAATTTTTATTTTTCTTATTTTGAGAACCTGTGTTATTTGAGAAGTTTTCAAAAAGGCTTGAGAGGAACACAAAAGCAGCCCAAGCACAACCTTTCAGTGATAAAAATTGAGAATCAGACGTTTGCAGCGGATAGCGATCACATAGAATGGAACAAGGGATCACCGCAAAAGACAAAGAAATGACTCTTTTACAAATGTTAAAAACGAGTTAAAGTTTTACGACACCTGCAGACTGACAGGTGCAAATCTCCTCCGCACTCAACTCCTGAAAGTTTAAAACTCCTTATTGCTTAGAAATGGGGTTGCACAGCAGCTCCTAGAATGAGTAATTTGCATACTGCAGAAGTCTGACTTGCGCTCCCCCGATTTACGCTAATTTGATGTTATACTGTTCTTTATTTTCCTTATTTTAATTCACATATTGACTCTAGTAACTAATTTGCATTTGAAATTGTCAATATTTCAGAAATATTAATAAACAAAAGTTACTCTGCCTATTTTTTAAAATTAGCCTTGAAGAAGTAATACGCTTAAAAACATTATAGTTTATGATAAATGCCCTAAAATTCTACACCACTCTTCAAAACTGTAGTTAATTTATAGCAGTTATTCTACGTTAATATACGCAATGAAGTCATTGTTTTATTTTTTGGCGTAGGAAAAGCGAAGAATGGAGTGTGATATTTAATATTTCTTCCTTTTTTTTCCTGCACCAAGATCAAAGTTACGCCGTGATTTTCGTAATGCTAGCTATTCTTCAATTTCCCCGATCGAGTAACTTGGGAGATAGAAAGATAAATCACAGATGCATACGGATCAACAGGTGATGACAACGGTTTCCTCTCCAGAACAAGAATATTACACAGCATTCGTTTAACTGAAGTTCAGTTTCATCCTGCTGCCATTTAAGTGACGAGCTTGAAGCATTGGTCAATATTATGCCCACGATAAATAGCGCGAGAAATTAAAAGCAAAGACTTCTCGATTTATTGTTTGTTTTCTGGGCATTTTCAAACATACTTAACTGACCACATTTAAAACTTTAATGAGTTACAAATTTGTTTTTCATTTTTCTCTTTTAAAATTTTTATTGCAGTTAACGAGGATATAATAATATACAAGTAGTAGTTATAGACTAGCAAAGAAGGGTACTTCCATACCTCGGATTTATGCTGAACCTTTGACCTACCTTGAACTATACTCGGAAAGAAAGGCTTTAATTAACAATTCTTGGAGACAGCTACCAACACACTCATGGTATGGCAGTGCAGGTCCTGGTATTGCTACTGGTTTCAAGGATGATAGGAAGGAAAAACGGCTCTGCCTCGATTAACTTAGGACATTTAAGGACCCCCAGATATTCCCCTGGTAATAAAACATTTCCAACTTGCGCCATATGTAAAAACCATGAAGCTACTGCGCAACATCTACTTATTTGTGCTGCATTGTGCGTGAAGATCTATTGAAGAGACCTAATTCCGTGTTGGAAATTATGGATCTGATCTGATTCAGATCAGAGGGATTAGTAAAAATACGAAGAAGAGAAATTAAAATAAATATAATAAACATTTTATATAATAAAAATTATTCGTATTAGCTTTGCTTTTCCTTTTCGCTTTCTTGTTTATAATGTAGAGACATTAGGTTATTTTAAGCAGTAAATGTGAAAAATGAGCAATGCCATCGCCGGAGCTCGAACCTCGGACCTCTCGAATACGCACTGACTGTGTTGACTGTTACACCACGAAGAGATTCTAAGAAGGCGGATAAATACCTTATATACTCCCCCTTTTAAACTACGACTGGGGATTAGGGCACCCAATCGCCAAATCCTGGTGGTGAAGAATCATCATCTACCACCTGTTTTCAGTTCGGGCGCCACTGTAGAGACATTAGGTTATTTCGGAGCACCAGACATGAAAAACTGAACAATGCCCTCGCTGGAACTCGAACCTCGGACCTCTCGAATACGCGCCGAGTGTGCTGACCGCTACACCACGGAGGCATGCTATGAAGGCTGGAGAAATACCTTATAACAGTTTGAACATGAACCATGTTCATGTTTTAAGCTTCTAATCGCTTGAATTTTTTAATACACTGTCTTTAAAGTGATGCATAATTTACCATGCTTGTAACTGACGCCATTATTTAAGATGAATTGAAATGCTTAAAATATATGTTTACGTGTGAAGCTGCAGGACTTTTACACCTAACAGTATGAGTACAAGATAAAATTTTATTCCAATAGATCTGGTATCACTTTTTAAGCCTTAATTTTATCATTATACCTAATGCATTTTACTGGGGTCTCCATTTTTAATACAAGAAAGGTATAGGTACATAGCTATACTGCCGTCGAAGATATGGAACCGATAGTCAAAAGATAACATAGAACCCAAATCTTATTTCTTAGTTTAATTAATTCCTGGGGTCGAAATATTCGAAATAAATCTCTTTAGTACGACTCGAACTCTATAATTATGTGAAATATTTATATATATAGAAATTAAATTAAAGGTGTAATTATTTATTGTTTAAATAAAACATCTTTAATCTGCAAAAGAAAAAGCATTTAAAATTTT